TGAAGAAAACACATTATGCAATATAGCAAGCTAGCAAAATGGCCTTATGGGCTACAAGAGGAGAACTTCCCTAAAGTATTTGTGTTTTTGCTGGTGCAGAAAAGGATTCATGTAACTGAAGAGAATAGGTCATCTTATTTGTTGTTTCCCAATGTCCAGCTTATCTCATTAGCAAATAATGTTGGTGCAGCAGAACCTGCTTAGCTGAGCATAACAAAGTTACAGCTATTGGTTTCAATGCTGTTTACATTGAATCCTAAGCCTTTGCTAAATCAGCTGTTGCCTCCCAAACAGTACCCAGAATTGTAAGGCAGATGGAGCCCTTGCATGCCTAGTGGCCGTATTCCAGTGGTTAATGATTATGTGACGTCTGCCTTTATGCTTAAATTCTTCTTTTATTTAATTACCTCAAATATATTAAACTTTAATTGACTCCCTTTCACTTTGATTTGTCTCAATTCCATGTTCTAATGAGAGATCTGAAATGCTCTAGTTTGAATTAAAATGACATGTTTTGCCCTTTTGTTTTGGTAAAACATTGGCTCAAAAGAGTAGCTTTTAAAACAGAATGTCCACCTCAGATTTGTGCTGAGCTGATGATTTGAGGGAAACTTCCTGAAAGTGAGATTAATTAGGCCATGGAATAGACTGGGGAAGTGGTAGAAGCTACTAGTAGTCCAAAGGGAACAATCCTAGCAGATGACATACTATAGTGGATTTTTAACCTGAACTGTACTCTTTGCTCACTGAAGTTCCCAATGATATTACTAATAATAAGTGTGCAAGGACTGATGCCTGATTCACATCCCTAGAGACCAAATTCCACTGTTAATACACAGAGCAAGTACAGAAAAGGCAGAACAAGCTTCCTCTCCTCCCACCCCTTCCCCACTGCTCCAGCCAGAGTATCTCAAAAAGGGACTATCTCTTAAGGGTGAGAGAATAGGTCAGTCTCCATGACTTATCCAGTTGTGAGCCTCTCTTTAGAGAGGGTGAAGAATGTAAACAACTGAGACTGGGATTTTTACTATGTGGACACTGGTTGGCTAGGAACTCAATTAAAGCTACCAAACTCATTTCACATAAACCAGCATCATTCCTTATCTAGTCCAGTTGCTGCTGTTTGCTACCTGTCGTGCATTTATTAAATAACTTTTTTTTTTTGCTTTCTTTTTAGATTTTAGGTTATAAAACTCCTTAAACGTGACAGGTTTCCCTGAACTAAGATCATTTGTGCTCAGCTCAGAATTTTATCAACAGCTTTTCCCCTCACTTTTAACTCAAGAAATAGTACAAGTTACGCAGCAGATTTATACCACATGTAGATGTTTGTTAGTTTCAAGCTGCAAGTGGCATGACACATTCTTTGGTCTATTTTTACATGACCTTAGTAATATTTTTACTGCTGCTCTCTGCTGTCATTGAGGTTGTACAATGGTTGTCTCCAGTTCTATTCTTCATTCTGCCTGGGCCAAGATCTGCCACCCTTTTCTCTTCACTACAGTTGCTTTGAGTTTTATCTACAGAAGAGGGTCAATACTAGTAGTTTTAGAGGACTATCTAAGCACTTTTGACTGTGCATTGGATCAGTCAAAGCAAAACTTCTTATTTATATGACAGCAGAGGTCTAAAAATGTCACTCACATTCACCTCAGGCTGTTTCTGTTTCAGGTCATCCAACTTATTTAGTGCTTTTATTCACTGCTATGCATCTCTGTTCCATTTCTGCATTATTTGGAAATCACATTTTCTCTTGACTTTTCTTTTTCTTGCATCTTAGCCCTTCAATCTTCTTTTGAAGGAGATAAATTGATCCCAGGCACTTTTGTGTGTATTTTGCATGAGACATTAAAACTGAAGCCCTGTCTTCTCTATATGGACATTAAAGATCCTATGCACTTTTTGTAAGTTTGCCCAGCACCCTTGGCTAAATCGTTCTCTGGGTGCCATAGTTCATCCCAGAGTTGACTATAATACTCTGGAGAGTGAAGTGTGAGTGTAAATGTTTCTTTTTTCTTTTTAAATAACACATAGCTGAATCTGCATATTTTCATCTACCTAGTTACAAGTGTGTATTTTCAGTGAAAATTATTCCAGCTAAGATCTTGGTTGTATAAGACTGAACTTTTTTTTATTCTGCCGTTCGTATCAGGACAGTGTTAATGTCAGGGCCTGATTACGTTATGACAGAAGTGAGACAGGTGGTGAGCTGTTTTTCATACCTTGTGCATATAAATAGTGAAGGAAACAAGTGTGGTGTGTACATAGCTCTTTGAGTTATGTAGGCATGTAGTGGAACCTGCTTATAGTGAATTTAGGTTATAGTGGACTTCTGTCCCAGAGCCCAATGAGAGATCTGTGTGTAAAGGGCTTGCAAGATTTAGCCCATTATGGTGAAGTCATCTAGTGGTTATAATTGTATTCCAGCATTTATTCCAAGTGATTGCTTTACCTATCTGCTTCATTATTGAATAACACACCAGGTACAGCCTAAAACTCTACTCCATCTTTTTTAATGAACTCTCTGTAGGAAGCTTCTGTTGCTGTTAAAACACAGATTTTCTAGCAGCACTAAAGGGGTTAAAGAGCAAAAAAATGAATGGAACTTTGAGTTGAGATACATTAAGTAATTTAAGAGAATTCCTGAGCAGTGGGTCTGTAGAAAGTTAAGCAGCCAAAGTTTGAGCAAAAACTGATGAAAGAAGAAGTGATAATGAAATTGGGCTGAGCAGTTTCTAAGGAGGTGCTCAAGATGCTGATATCTTGCACAAATGTCTGCTAAGAATATCTCATTCTTTTAAGTTCCTGACTCCTTCCTGTTTTCATCACTGTGACAGTGCAGAGTTCATGCCTAGTAGGGCAACTGGGAATTCCCTGGTTGTAGGGAAATCCTGGGTGACATAGAACTGGAATAGCCAGCTCGACACTACCCACTCCCTTCCCCCTGGAGTTGGGGGGCATTCCTGGGTGCACTGGGAACATGATTGGAGAGAGAAGGAGACTCAGCCGGAGCGTGATGAACTCTGGCAATCCCTTCGGCAGCCAAGCTAGGGTCCATTCCAGCCAGCATAATTTAGAGCAGGGATCGGCAACCTTTGGCACGCAGCCCGCCAGGGTAAGCCCCCTGGCAGGCTGGGCCGGTTTGTTTACCTGCCGCGTCCACAGGTTCAGCCGATCACGGCTCCCACTGGCTGCGGTTCGCCTTTCCAGGCCAATGGGGGCGACGGGAAGTGGCAGCCAGCACATCCCTCGGCCCGCACCACTTGCCGTCGCCCTCATTGGCCTGGAGCGGCGAACTGCGGCCAGTGGGAGCCGCAATCAGCCGAACCTGCGGATGCGGCAGGTAAACAAACCGGCCTGGCCCGCCAGGGTGCTTATCCTGACGGGTCACGTGCCAAAGGTTGCCGACCCCTGGACCAGGCTTTTACATCTGCTACAATTTCCATGGACTTGATTTGGCAGATTAAATAAACTAGTGTTTCCTCAATGAATTTCTGAGGATCTCTCTGGACAACACAAGAAAAAAGCTAATTCAAAATATGTTTTTCTTTCCTATTTATTTTGTCATAATAGGAATATATTTTTTTAATTCATTCAGGGCTACATCCTTGTCCCATTTAAGTCAATGGCAACATTCCCATTGACTTCAGTGGGATCATAATTTGGATCTAAATAAGTGTTACATTTTTTATGATCACACATTTAATATTTGATGCCTGAAATGTATTTCTTTACCCTGTACATTTGTTACCATGACCAAAAGTGTCCCATTTGGCCATCAACTCTAGAAGATTACTAGCTAGTTTACTAGTGCAGTGATAATGACATTTATAATGTAAGGGCCAGATCCTGCAAACCCTTAATTATGCAAGTAATCCTGATTAGTCCACCCTGAAATCAATAGGACCACTCAGTAGTTAAGATCTACTCTCATGAGTAAGTGTTGAGAGGTCATAATTTAGGGCCAGGGTCCTCAGTTTAGCACCGAATCTGAGAATCTGGCTTGGGTAGGTAGGTGGAAGGCAGGAAGGAATCCTTCCCCTATCTCATGCTGCAGAGCTGCCCTGAAGAGGCTGTTTCAGCCCAATGACTGTGGTCTTAAAATACGCATGCACACATGCACACACTCCTAACTCCAAGAGCAACAAAAGATCCACACATGATCAGTTCATCTGGCTCCAGATCTGCTTGCAGGAAGCCCTCTGTGGTCATCAAAGAAGGACCTGGATTTGCTTTCTAGCATTTCAAGTTTGGGGTAACCTTATTATTTGGAGCCACAAACACAAGAGAAACAGAGAACACTGTCTTTAAAAGGCCCTCTTTTTGTTACATACACGTGGAATGGAACCTCCCTGCAGTGGAATTCTTCACTGGGGGCTCTAGATGCTACTGCCACACAAATAATAATAATAAAATATTGGCACAGCTATGGTTCCTTCTGATCTTTGTTTAAGACCCATTTTCATTTGTTCAGCATATGCAAGTTTCCCCTCTGCTTCATAGTTTTCAGGCAGGACATTGAACTACCAACATGATCTCATCTTGGCATTTGGCTTTTTCTATTCTTCTTCTATGACTTTAACAATCTACCCAGCAAACACAGGGGCTATTTATTCAGTATTTTACTCCCCTGGCAGGACCCAGATGCTTTATGGAAACAAGAAGAGTTGAAAATGCGTACTTTTTTCCTTTGCTTAAGCAGTCTGAAAGTTGGCAAGTTCTGGAGGCTAAAATATTCTAGGGGAAAAAATCAAAGGGAGTTAGATATCCACTGGCTCACTCTAGATTTATGAATTATTTTACAGTTCTTTTTCACTCGCTTGACACTTTGCTCAATCAGCTAATTAGCCATCTGCCATGAATTCTGTTTGTTTCAAATCTATAGCCATAGATCTTTGTGGAGAAGTCATTTCTTAGGGGAAAAAACTTTTATATTTAGTGAATATATTATACTAGGTAAGCATTTTCCAGAAGATTTAAATAAGTTAGAATAGTGAGAAACATTTTCTTTTCACAAAGAGTTAATTCAGACCTCAGACAGAGGTTCCTGGCTTTTCTTGCACATTTGTGCAAGGAGGGGATGGGCTTTCTGTGCCTGACTCATCCACCTGTGCAGGTGGCAGCCAGAATCCGGATGCTTGTACTCCCACTAGCAGGGTTGGATATCACAAGATAAGTGTAGGCATGTCTATGGCCCCTGCCTACCTTCAGCACTGGTTGGCATTCTATGGCTGACACTGGAGAGAAGCACACACTGCAACCATTTAAAGAGGATGGCAATATCTCTTTGCATTTCTCTATTGCCCCTGGAAGTACTATGCCATGTGCTTCAGCCGCTGCTGCTGGTATTTTTCCCTCTATACACCCTTTTAATATGGCATGGGCTGATAAAGCCACATTCTGGCCCAAAGTTATTTACTGGTATTAGTTTCAGTTGTGTTGTCTTTCAGTTTGCTAAACATGTTAAGAGTATGATTTGTGTAAGACTCTCTCCTTTCGTACTGCAGCGTACAATGCGGGTTGAAGAAAGGGAAGCTAAGATGCAAATCAGAGACCTCCATTTTTCCAGATTAAACATTTATTGATTTTTAGGCAACACATTGCTTAGCGTTTTATTGAAGAGGAAGTTTAAGACTAAAACTTAGGGGCAAAAATTCTCCTCTCTGTTGTGGATAACTAGTGCCTGTTCATCACTCACTCCACATATGGAATTGCTCTCCTGGCAATGGAATTGTATCCTAAGACTTTAGGTACTTGGATACCCCAGAAAATGTTTGTCACTTGCAATCAACAAGAAAATATACAGTCACTTGTTGTTTTCTGGTGTCAAGATTACTCTTCCCTACTGTGGGTTTTTGGCATAAAAAGTTGGCAATGAGATTAAATTTCTTAAGACATAGGTAACTTCTGTGTTACATAAAATGCATCCTATTCAGCATCTTCCTGGCACATGAGTCTTTTAACAGCTATATAATTTAAAAGAAAACCTGCTTTTACTTTCCAGATTATACCAGTGTCAGAAAAGATCAGAAGATGCTATTCTCTGCTATCAAAAAGCTCTGAGCTATATTGAGAAGTGTAAGGGTGAAACCAGTCTGGAATGTATTCCTGTACACAAGAAAATGGCAGGAGTAGCACAGGTTCTTGGGGATCATGCAACAGCAATCCAGCATCTTGTAAAGGTAAAGAAAGTTTCAAGTAAGGCTTTTTGCTAAATGTCATGGTTAATAGATAAGCAAATCATCACCGTAATGAGGCTCATGCACAATTTGTAAACATGTGTCTTTGCTGCATTTTTTCAAAATATCAAGACATTACTTCCCGTTAAAGGATTAAGTGGTACACAGTCAGCAGCCAAGGCAGTGCATTAAAAACCTAACTCCTGTTAATAATAATGGGATTTGTGCATCTAAACCACGCTGGAGAACACTGAAAATTGCCCGGGATGCTTACAAACACTAACTCGGAGCCTAATCCTGTAAAATTCTAAGCACCTTGAAAATGGCAATCGGAGCCCTTAACTCCTATAAAAAGACACTCAGCACCCTGCAGGATCAGGACCTATATTACTACTAAGAACATCTGAAACCATCAACACAGTTGGTGGTCTCTGGTTTGGTTTTGGTTTTGTTACTTTTCCCAAAGAAAGATAAAGCTTGAGAGACTTGTAAAGAGCTAGATACTTACACGTATAGGTGGCACCCAGTGGCTGTTTGGTGGAATATGTGAAATGAGTCAGTTGTGTATTTCCTAGCGGGACAGATGTTTCTAAGTATTATTAAAACAAAGTCCACCATCACAAGGACAATAATTAGCATCTTGCTGTAGTCTGGGCAGAGCAGCTTTGCCACTAGTAGATATGGAGTCTGAAAAGGCTTTTTACTTACTAGAGACGGTCCCTTTGGGTTTGAATTGAGATACATTGTTGAGGCAGTGTTTTATGGAAGCATAAGAATGGCCATACTGGGTCAGACCAAAGGTCCATCTAGCCCAGTATTCTGTCTTCCGACAGTGGCCAATGCCAGGTGCCCCAGAGGGAATGAACAGAACAGGTAATCACCAAGTGATCCATCCCCTGTCGCCCATTCCCAGCTTCTGGCAAACAGAGGGTAGGGACACCATCCCTGTCCATCCTGGCTACTAGCCATTGATGGACCTATCCTCCATGAACTTATCTAGTTCTTTTTTAACCCTATTATAGTCTTGGCCTTCACAACATCCTCTGGCAAAGAGTTCCACGGGTTGACTGTGTGTTGTGTGAAAAAATATTTCCTTTTCTTTGTTTTAAACCTGCTGCCTATTAATTTCATTTGGTGACCCCCTAGTTCTTGTGTTATGAGAAGGAGTAAATAACACTTCCTTATTTACTTTCTCCACACCAGTCATGATTTTATTGACCTCTGTCATATTCCCCCTTAGTCGTCTCTTTTCCAAGTTGAAAAGTCCCAGTTTTATTAATCTCCCCTCATATAGCAGCCATTCCATACCCCTAATCATTTTTGTTGCCCCTTTCTGTACCTTTTCCAATTCCAATATATCTTTTTTGAGATGGGGCGACCACATCTGCATGCAGTATTCAATATGTGGGGCGTACCATGGATTTATATAGAGGCAGTATGATATTTTCTGTCTTATTATCTATCCCTTTCTTGATGATTCCCAACATTCTGTTCGCTTTTTTGATTGCCACTGCACAACGAGTGGATGTTTTCAGAGAAATATCCACAATGACTCCAAGATCTCTTTCTTGAGTGGTAACAGCCAGTTCAGACCCCATTATTTTTATAGATTCTAGGATTCTAGGACTGGAAGGGACCTCGAGAGGTCATCGAGTCCAGTCCCCTGCCCGCATGGCAGGACCAAATACTGTCTAGACCATCCCTGATAGACATTTATCTAACCTACTCTTAAATATATATTTTATATGTATAGTTTGGATTACATTTTCCAATGTGCATTACTTTGCATTTATCAACATTGAATTTCATCTGCCATTTTGTTGCCCAGTCACCCAGTTTTGAGAGATCCTTTTGTAGCTCTTCACAGTCTGCCTGGGACTTCATTATCTTGAGCAGTTTTGTATCATCTGCAAATTTTGCCACCTCACCGTTTACCCCTTTTTCCAGATCATTTATGAATATGTTAAATAGGACTGGGCCCAGTACAGACCCCTGGAGGACACCACTATTTACCTCTCTCCATTCTGAAAACTGACCATTTATTCCTATCTTTTGTTTCCTCTCTTTTAACCAGTTACCAATCCATGAGAGAACCTTCGCTCTTATCTCATGACAGCTTATATTGCTTAAGAGTCTTTGGTGAGGGACCTTGTCACAGGCTTTCTGAAAATCTAAGTACACTATATCCACTGGATCTCCGTTGTCCACATGCTTGTTGACCCCTTCAAAGGATTCTAGTAGATTGCTGAGGCATGATTTCCCTTTACAAAAACCATGTTGACTCTTCCCCCAACAAATTATGTTCATCTATGTGTCTGACAATTTTGTTCTTTACTATTGTTTCAACCAGATTGCCCGGTACTGAAGTCAGGCTTACCGGCCTGTAATTGCCGGGATCACCTCTGGAGCCCTTTTTAAAAATTAGCGTCACATTAGCTATTCTCCAGTCATTTGGTACAGAAGATGATTTAAATGCTAGGTTACAGACTACAGTTAGTAGTTCTGCAATTTCACAATTGAGTTCCTTCAGAACTCTTGGGTGAATACCATCTGGTCCTGGTGACTCAAATGACACCTCAATCCGGGACAGTTCCTCCGATTTGTCACCTAAAAAAAATGGCTCAGGTTTGGGAATCTCCCTCATCCTCAGCCATGAAGATCGATGCAAAGAATTCATTTTGTTTCTCTGCAATGGCCTTATCGTCCTTGAGTGCTCCTTTACCTTCTCGATCGTCCAGTAGCTCCACTGGTTGTTTAGCAGGCTTCCTGCTTCTGATGTACTTTAAAAAAAATGGCTATTACTTTTTGAGTCTTTGGCTAGCTGTTCTTCAAATTCTTTTTTGGCCTTCCTAATTATATTTTTACATTTCATTTGCCAGAGTTTATGTTCCTTTCTATTTTCCTCGCTAGGATTTAAACTTCCACTTTTTAAAGGATTCCTTTTTGCCTCTCACTGCTTCTTTTATTTTGTTGTTTTGCCACCATGGCACTTTTTTGGTTCTCTTACTATGTTTTTTAATTTGGGGTATACATTTAAGTTGAGCCTCTATTAAGGTGTCTTTGAAAAGTTTCCATGTAGCTTGCAGGGATTTCACTTTTGGCACTGTACCCTTTAATTTCTGTTTAACTAACCTCCTCATTTTTGTGTAGTTCACCTTTCTGAAATTAAATGCTGTGTCCTGCAGCGGCCTATGATTTAATTATGAAACTGAAAATCTCCATTAATGAGGTTGAATAGAAAACAGTAACCATTCTGCCTAAATTCAGGAATGTACTGGATCACCATTACACTAGAAAAATTCCTGGTGCTTTGCCCATGATACTTGGCAAACATCCCCGGTGCTCCCCATGCTGTAGCAAATTGCATTTTTCAGATCATTTCACAGCTGACTTTATTTCTGCTGCTGTCTGCATTCCTTCTCTCCCACTGCACCATTTACTCAGCTTGTCTTGGGATGGACTACATCACTTACATGCAAGAGGAAGGGAAGAAGTGAAAGCAATTGAGTAGTCTATCCTAGGAGTTAAAGATGTATTGTTAGAACATGCCAGCTAACAAATTCTAAAAGTCTAGTGTAGACAAGGTCATGGAGACTTTAACACTTAATACATTGTTCAAATTAAAGCGTAGACTCTTCCTTGTGGGTCACTTTGACCAGCTAATGTGTTAAAATACAACTAGCCCTGTCTACGCTTAGGTTTTAGTTAGGCTGTGTTTGCTAATCTGTTTTTTTAACACCACACACTAACACCATTGTCAATATTCTAGCGAAGGCCTAAGGGGAAAACCTGTGTATCTGAGAGACTAAATTCTCTCCACAAGCCTGAACATTTTCCAAAGTGGCTATGGCTGAAGCTCTTCTGCGTACACTTCCGTACAGTCTGAGGGCTTGATCCAAATCCCTTTCAAGTCAACAAGTTGGATGTCAATGGGAGTTGGATAGGGTGCTAAGAGATTACCAGCAAGGACAATATATCCACTAACCATAGAGCAGTGTTTCCCAAACTTGGGACGCCGCTTGTGTAGGGAAAGCCCCTGGCGGGCCGGGCCGGTTTGTTTACCTGCCGCGTCCGCAGGTCCGGCCGATCGCAGCTCCCACTGGCCGCAGTTCGCTGCTCCAGGCCAATGGGAGCTGCTGGAAGCAGCGCGGGCTGAGGGACATACTGGAATTATATAATCAATGCTTATTAAAATATTATCACTTGTCTTTTGTCAGTTGTTTGTCACCCCAACATTGCTTAAGAAGAGTTTTTTGGTACCAGATATGCACGGTGCTGATTGAAATGTAATAGGCTCTTTTTGAGTCTTTTAAAATCTTTTCTAATGGCCCAGTCCTACTCACCCTTACTCACAAGCGATGTCTCATTGACATCAGTGGGAGTATTCATGTGAAAAAGGGTTTGCAAGATTGGACCCTAAAGGTGGAATGCCCAAGGAAAGTTGCACTGTAGTTGTAATTTTTCCCCAATTGGAACTTCCTTTGTGTTCCTTGGATGAATTCACTTGTTTTCAGTTGTGCAATATTTTGCATTTTATTGATATCAGCAGGCTTAAATTGAGGTTTAATGTACAGATATTACAAGAGCCTATATCTTGATAAGGTCTGTGGGAATGCTCATTTGTTCTACTTTGTAGTTAAAGTCCTAAACTGTTGTTCACACTAGCTACATTTCATTTTTCTTTTGCCGTCTGTCTTTCTCGTGCCATTTTCCTGCCTTTTCTTCCCAGTTTCATATAAGGAATATGTACCCAGGAATGTAGAGGAAGGAAATTTTATCTTTTTCCAAGCAGGTATTGTATCCAGTATACCTGAATCCTCCTCCTAGTCCAGTGCGGACTGTTAGATTACTGCCATTTAAGGGCCTGGTTTTGCATCTTTTTGCCTCTGCCCAAGAGAGAACCAGGAATGGACTAGCAGGGCTTTTGGAAGTCAGGACTGAGGCGCATAAGCAAAGCTATATGTGAAAGGTTGCAGTGTGCCCCCTATATTACACCTGGCTTACGCCAATACTGTTGTCTTCTCACTTTCATAAGTACCAATGTCACTTACCAATTAAAAAAAGATTCGTATGTCAATACTTACTTTAAGCTTTATCACCTAAACTACAGTGTAAAGTTTCCTAAAATTTCTTATAGGACCAGTGTATGCTGATGTTCTGCCTTTGGGCAGCAACACATCACTTGATTTGCAAGTGCAAACCAGAGACTTGTGTTTTGTGTTTTGTCACTCTGCTATTTGTGGCTTCATGTAATTTTAGTGGGCGTTTTGGAAACTCTAGAAACTCTTGCAGGTTTCCCTTTTCTTCTGCCCTCTCTCTCCACTTCCTTTCCCTCACTCACAGCTACATTGATCCTTTTTGATAACTCTTTCTTCTCTAAAATCACTACCCTCTGATGTTATGTGCATGGCTACCTTTTGAAGTCAGTATATTTGCCTTAATATTTATAAATACATAGGCTGACTTGGTGGGATATCATATGTAGTTCAGTGTATCCAGGCTTGCAGGGTGGAGATTATATCATATAGCCATTGTTGCTTTTCTCTGTGTTATGATTCTCTGTGTTTTGCTTTATATAGCTTTATTCTTTATGCTTGTCCCCAAAACTCAATAAATACAATTTAAAAAACTTCAATCCACTTTAAATTGGACCCTGATGGAAGTTTTGCAGATATCCATGTTTGGTCCTCACACTTTCAGAGATGAGAGAGCCATGTTCATTTCCCACAAGATATCCCATAAATCGCTTAATTCCTCCTTCATTCTCTCCTGAATGTGGACTGAGCACAGTAAGTTTTCAATTTGATTTTTCTATAGTCCTTCCATTTTCAAGTCCGCTTGAGAGACTGTTTTTGACTCCTGATTTCCCCCAGTTAGACTAGGAATTGCAGTTGCCTGTGAGTTTCTTATTACCTTACGGAAGGCTCCCTGCAGTGAAGAGTGGATGGGAGGAGGATAGGGAAGCAAATACCTTGTATTTCTGCATGGCCTGACACAGTTGAGCTGGCTTACTGCTGATTATGACAATGAGCAGCAGTGGCAGGGCTTTACTGTCAGAGAATGCTGCAGCAACATTATAGCCTCTTGCCATTAGTGTCATTATGCCCACAAGGACACAGCACAGAAATGGGGAAAGGGGTAAAAATCATCTTTAGCGGAACCAAGATTTTTCCCTTTTCGTGTAAAAAGTTTTAAGAGTGAATCAATGGATCTCATTATGAGGTGTATTCTTCTCTCATGCACATGCATGTAAATCCCATGCATTTGGAGTGGCATTGCACATGCCAACCAAGAGGTGCATGTAAAAACCTCTTTGTGTCCAAAGTGAAGGGAAACTCCCACTGATAATACTGATATGATGCTTCATTCTGGGCTTCAAATAAATATAACCAACATTTATACAGTCCCTTTCGGCCCAAGGATCCCAAAACACTCTAACCATTTATGTGCAGGAGTCATCTCACCCACCCCGCAACGACAGCCATCTCGGGAATGGAATATGCAGCTATAACAGTGCACAGGAAAAATGCTCAACAATTCAAGACAGGATATGAACAAGAATACTGTTGTCATTAGAAATTGAAGTGGAACATTAGATTGGGGGGAGGAGGTTTTACTTTCTGAACCAAAACAGAATATAACTGATATTTGGGATTGGTAGCTAAACGGTTCACCTAGGACCTGATCCAATGTCAATGGAAGAAATTGGGAAAACTGATTTTAATGTGCACACAGCATCTCATTTATAAAGTCTGTTTGGTTTCCCTGAAAAAGAAACTTTCTGCCAAATAAGCCCATTTATTTTCTTCTTGTCCCACTGGAGACAGACCTCGCTGTGACACTACATCAAAGCAGTGTCATTTAAACTAAACTGTTTCCTCTGTTTATTTGTAACAGAGTCATTTCATTGCCCTGAGAAAAAGCCCTTCTTCAGGGGAAGCAGCAGAAACTGCTCACTTGTTGGCACAGGCTGCAGTTGCCTCTAAACAATCAGAGCACAAGGGCGAGTGCCTTTTAAAGGTTATGAATGGTTACCATGCTGTCCTGCTTGTACGAATGCACACTTCAGTAAACGCTGCACACTGGATCACAGTAGATTTAGTCCCTCTTGCACTGTTTGTTTCATTTTGCAGACTTTTTAGGACTGTGACGTTGTTTCTCAAGGCATACCGGATGCTTTTGATATGTATCACCCTCCACTTAATCCTTTGCCTTTTATGAGCAATAGCTAAATCGCCAGAGGGAGTTACAGAGGCAGCCTTGAAGCCACAGAAGATGTTCTAAACTGATGGCAGGCATTTGCCATTTCTTTCTAACGTGTTTATCCATCTTTTAAAATCATTAGTGAGCTGCAGCCACTGCTGTGATTGAACCAGTAAGTGTGCTGACTGCAATCTCTTTGCATTCCCTTGCTGGAAGTCTTACTTTGCAATTTGAAGTAGCCTCAAGCTATCAATCAGTGTGTGCAGCTGTAGCTATACAAATTTACTGTATCCAAAAGCGTGGGCACAGGGTTGCTGCGATCAAATTTTAAAAGCCTACCATTTATCCTTTTGGGACCCTGCCACTGAAAGTTTTTTGTCCTGATTTAGTATTTTGCTATTCTGTTGGGACTCTTTCAGTTCTATCAGTTAATAATGACCTAGTATTTATAGATTTGGTTCTCAACCAGGGGTACGCGTACCCCTGGGGGTACACAGAGGTCTTCCAGGGGGTACATGAACTCATCTAGATATTTGCCTAGTTTTACAACAGGCTACATAAAAAGCACTAGTAAAGTCAGTACAAACTAAAATTTCATACAATGACTTGTTTATACTGCTCTATATACTATACACTGAAATATAAGTACACTATTTATACTCCAGTCGATTTATTTTATAATTATATGGTAAAAATGAGAAAGTAAGCAATTTTTCAGTAACAGTGAGCTGTGACACTTTTGTATTTTTACGTCTGATTTTGTAAGCAAGTCGTTTTTAAATGAGGTGAAACTTGGGATACACAAGACAAATCAGACTCCTGAAAGGGGTACAGTAGTCTGGAAAGGTTGAGAGCCATGGCTGTAGAGCATATTGCATGTTCCTTGCACTTGAAACATTTTCTACTTAATTTTCTGTAAACGCTGGATGCACACTAATCAGGTTGACATGTAAGGGCATCCACCCTAAACTCTGATTGGCTGAGAGTTCAAAACTGTCATTAAGGTACTTTGATGGTGCCTCAAAGCCAGAAGCATTGAGACAGAGCTAGAAGCAAGAGGATTTGACTCCCAAGAGGGATGTTATTCAGTGAATCTGAAATTGACCCTGGTACAGAGAGCTTGGTACAAGGCTCTACATATCACTTAAGCCTCATGTTATAGCCATAAGTGCAGCAGAGGAGCATAGAGCCACATTAAGGTGAATTTCACCCAGAGGGAATTTTAAATGTGAGAATTTAGAACATGGGAACAGAAGTCTATTGTTCAGTTATTGTGAAGTGAAAGCAAGGAGGTGTACTGAAGGTTTAGAAATGACCAGAGAGAACCAGGACCTTGCAATTTATAGAAAATACCTTTATAAGATTTCTGATGGAGCCTGAACGACTACAACTGACTCAGAGTAACAGATAGGGCCCCTACTCTAAGCCATACACTGACTATCCATTTCAAGCAGATCAGTTACATACAATGTGTGGGGAGAAGATATTTTGAAATAAAATTACTTATGCTCAGTATTTTAATGGTTTATAAAGTGTTGCTGGTAAGTATTCTCATGCATATTTTAAAAGGCTATTTCAGGTGACCAGAATGAGAAAAGCCATGCAAGACTTTGGGATGGCAGGTTTATAACAGGAAAACAAATAGGGGGAACAAAAAACTCTTTCCAGCAGTTGTCAGCTATCCCAGCCCATATAATGGGCATTAGGAATATGTTCAGCTAAATCCTGAATCAACAGGATTTAATCTGTTTGCAATTCCCTTGGAATGATCTACCTCAACCCTTAGTTGAAGACACCAATTATTCCCTGTAGGTTCAGCTATTATTTTAAATCACAAAGAAATTAAAGAGGCAGGAATGTATATTCCTCATGGGGAAAGCAAATTCCTGCAGTCTCATCCTGGTTTACACACTAACCAAATTTGAATACTTGCATGCCCCATCAAGTCTTGCAGCCTTTGAGACATTTCCTTTCTTGTGTTTTTCTGCACATTTCTCTTTCAATTTTAAATTTTTTAATTTCTTGCTTGTAAAACTGAGTAAGAAACTATGACAGTGTTGTCATTAAAAGTTGAAATATTTTTCATTATACAGAGCAAAGAAAAGAGCTTTGAACTCTTTCAGCCCTGTGGCCTTGATTCTTCCCTGCATCAGGGCTAAGCCTAGTGCCAGAACTGAGGGGGCAGCAGTACTTCTGTCCTGGGACTGCCAGGGCTGATTCTGTCCCCAACTCAAGTTTGGACATGCCTGAAGGCTGGCTTAACTTGTGCCATATCTTCAATATCTGGGGCATGCCCCCGCCTACCTTCATTCTCCTCCACCGTGCCCCCAGCTCTGAGGAGGCTCCCTGTGTTGGGGTTATTTCCCAGGTGTACTTTACAGCTGCCTTTTAATTGTGGCCCTTTAATCTCTGGAGGGGGGACACCGCCAGACATGCTCAAGTGGCTGCTTTGAATGTGGGCATGGAATCCAAAAGTTGGTTAAGCTACCAACATTTTATGATTAAAAAAATTCTAGCTACAGATTACTAGTCGGCCCTTCTCTGAGCAAAATACAATTATGAAATTATCCATGTAAAGATTACTTAAGTGCCTTAACTTCTTGGAACTGTTTACAAATATGAATGAAAAAAAGAGTAACAAAAGCAACTGCTCTTGTTTCTGCCAGATTACCCTTTTATTCTTAGGCAGAGTGAGGAAAGGGGGAGAAAATAACCAAATACTGAACAGATAAATGTGCTTTAGATCGTGCCCTGAAGCTCACGGGTCCTGAGTTCTGGCGAACAACCACTTCCAAAGGTGAGAGCCCTGTGCTGAGAGAGTTTTGCTGACAGTCATAAAAAAAAAATCAGTTATAAGGTCTAGCAATCAGAATGCTCTGGCTGATCTAAATTAAGGTGATGGAATATGTGAGAGGTGATCTCACAGGTCCCAGACCATTGAAGACTTTCAAGATTGTAATTAAAATTTTGAATTGCATCCAAAAGCAATCGAGTTGCCAATGCGTACTTGAGCATAGGTGGACTAATAGCTGCTCTCACTCAGAAGGCGCCATCTTTCTTAGCTGAAACTTCCAGCTGTTTTTCAAGAATAGCCCTAACAACTGCATATGGTGGCTGTCTAGCTTGGATGTGACAAAGGCCTGGATGCCCATTGTGAGGTCATTTATCTCAGCCCTCACCTACATCACTATGACACTTTATATTTTTGTTCTAAAATACGCTAAGAAAATAAAATTCAAATAAAATAAAATAGAAAACTTGCCAGAGCCTGTGGACTATAGTTTACTTTTATAATTCCATGGCAGATAAAATATCATTTCAAATTTTACATCCTCTACTGGGCACATGCTTTTTGAAGTCACCTGTTTCATATAAGAAGAACCTATCACAGGAACAGCTACATAATAGGAATTTTGAGCCTGTTTCCTCAGAACACCCCATCTATGTACAGAGTCTAGGGAGGGAAAAAATTGTTCAGTGCCCACTTCAATTCGTTTCCACTCTATTGGCCTGCACAGTGATACTAACCTGGCTAGCCTGCCAGTGCAACCAGTGTCAAACTTTATACTAACACTTCTCCCCAGCACTGAAAGGCATTCAAGATATTTGTGTTTTGTTTATAGCTTTTTCCATAAATGATATTCAAATAAAATAGCTTTTGGGACAAAGTGTACTTCAATGTAAACCTTCAAAGGCTGATAGCAAAAACAGAGCTGCACACAGGCAGCCTTGTTTGGAATTGTTTCCCTCTTCACTTTGCAATGCTTGAGCCCCTTCCAGGCTGTGTTCTTTAAAGAGTATTTGGCTATAGAGTCTGCGCATCACTGCAGACATGAGGCAGAGACTTTTCTTTAACTATGCCATTCCTTCCAAGCATGCAGTTGCCACAGTTTAGTAAAAAGCTAACATCACAAAAAGTATCTGCAGATTTGAGTCACACTACGTATTACTTCAGGATAGGTTCTATTTATTGTACACTTTCAGATTTTAAATGTATGTAGATCTATAATATATCAAAGGTGCTCTGCTTAGGTATGTCCGTACTTTCCACTTAGTATGGTATAAATTATGGCTTTAACAAAATATGATATAAATTTATACACATTTATAATTAATCTAATGCTGATGCATTGCACTTATATAGCACTTTTCCTCCAAGAATCTCAAAGCACTTCATAAACACTCTCGTGCCAGTATTTAGCCTTAGATGGAGTTTACCACTAGCTTTAGGTTGCATTCCCAAGCAACCAGACTCCAAGAAGACCCAGTCCCGGTGTGCTGGGGGCCGCTACCGGCCTCACACCATCCACAGGCACCTCTTAATGGTTTCACGCTGGGACCGGGTCTTCTTGGAGTCGGGTTGCTTGGGAATGCAGCCCAAAGCTGGTGGTAAACTCCATCTAAGGCTAAATACTGGCACGAGACCAATAGTCAACAAGTACCGTAAGGGAAAGTTGAAAAGAACTTTGAAGAGAGAGTTCAAGAGGGCATGAAACCATTAAGAGGTGCCCGAGGACGGTGTGAGGCCGGTAGCCTCAGTTAGTGAAATTGAAGGCAGAGAAGTTCAGTTATTTGCCCATTGTTACACAGTGAGTCAGTGACAGAGATGGGATTTTACATCCCCAGATTACATGCTGTGTAAAATTTAACATATTTTTAAATTTAGACTTTCCCCAGTTTGTAACTGACCCTATTGCCAAACAACATCAGTGAAAGAACATCTCTATTTTATCATGTGTTGATAAACGACTCCCAACTAAATAGGTCACAGAGTGGAATAGCCTGCACATACTTTATTCATGAAGTGTTCATTGCCCTTTTTTTGTGAATTTACTTTGTGGTAGGTTCACATTTGTAACCCTCGGCCCGCGCCGCTTCCCACAGCCCCCATTGGCCTGGAGCGGCGAACCGCGGCCAGTGGGAGCCGCGATAGGCGGAACCTGCGGACACGGCAGGTAAACAAACCGGCCCGGCCTGCCAGGGGCTTTCTCTGAACAAGTGGCGGACCGGCTTTGAGAACCACTGCTTTAGAACAGCTGTGGCAATACACAACAGATACAGGTCCTGAATGAAACAGCCTTGGGAAACAGACCTGAATGTGGTGATTGTGCCATGTTGCAGCACTAAACTAAACTAAACGTAGTCCTCTTTCAAACAGGACTATGTTAACATGGACTAGATATCTTTTAGTTTGCACCAACAGGGTCCACATGGGGCAGTTAGAGTGCAACTTCTTGGTGCGCTCTGCAGTTCACACACCCATAGTTTGCACTGTGGCACAGTGTAGACAAGCCCTAAACCTCATAACCATATATCAACTAGCTTATTGAACAGTGTTGCTGTTTACAGTGTGTTGCAGTTGTAGTCACAGTGAACTGCATGAGTTGCACTTCCCTTCCTTTTGCATACCTCCTGAACAAAATGGGAGGAGGGCAGAGAGGCTGAACTCCTTAAATTAACCTTGTAATAACTAATGACTATGGGAGTGATATTAAAATAGCTGCTACTCAGGATGCCAATTACAGACTGGTCCAAATGCCAGAGGTTAAGAAAGTGAGCCAGTGCCCTATGGAAGACTAGATATCAGATAACTGATGAATCAAGAACAGATTTTAATGTTAGTAACAGGACATCTGGCATTCACTACAATTCTATTGTCCAATGATGAATTTAGACCAAATTCCATATTGACTGGCCTTATTCTTAGTAAGAGAATAGGTGCAAGCTGTCATACGTGCACAGATTCTGGATTTGTGTCAGTGCATATGGTACTTTATGTGCAAAGAAGAGACACGCTTACAGCCCTTTCTTCAGCCATCCCTCCAAAATGTGTCCTTGTATGTCTAAGTACTTTTGTGAAATTCCTAGACTGGGGAGGGAAAAGCCACATGTGTTTGTTGAAGTAGATGTTGTAACATAGCACATAAAAGCAGAAGACCCAATCCTAACGTCCTGATACAGGCAAAATTTCCAGTGACACAAGGGATCAGGCCCATAGAAACCAGAAGTGAAAAAATACAAATGTATTCTCTAACTGGACAGTTATTGCGCATTTAGAGCCAAGGAACAGATAATTTAGGGAGGGAGAATTTCTCCGGCTTTCCCCCCTACAAATAAATCACTACCTCTCTTCTTTCTTGTACATAGGCCCTTTTAAAGTAATGTTCCTAGGCAGAAATAATAAATGAGCAGCAAACGTATTTTTCTAATGGAAATCCAAAAGGAAATTTCATGAGCACCTTTAAAAATATTTATGTTTGTACAAGTAATTGTGCTTCAATTGTCATAGAAGTTATCATACAAACTAACAAAAGTAGGAAATTAAAGCAATACTTAGAAATCATTTACTTAAAATGAAGAGTTCCTTACCTCTGGTATAACACTCATTATTTATTATTGTTAAAAGTGAAAACCCTTTTTTTTTTTTTGCACAGCTAATAAGAACATAAGAATGGCCATACTGGGTCAGACCAGTATCCTGTCTTCCGACAGTGGCCAATGCCAGGTGCCCCAGAGGGAATGAACAGAACAGGTAATCATCAAGTGATCCATTCCCTGTTGCTCAATATAGAACAATCATTTACAGTTTTAAATCTAGGCAGTTGCTCCATATTTTACTCTCCTAAACATCTGCATCATATTTCATTTAGATTTCTAATAGAGCTGGTTGAAAAAATTGAATAATTTTTTGTGAAATTTTTGATGAAATTTTTGACTGAAAATTTTGATGAAAAATCAAATTGTGAAAAATTTAGACCAGCTCTTGAGTCTAACCTTATTTACTTTACATACAACGATAGTTTAGTTATATATTATAGACTTATAGAAAGAGACCTTCTAAAAACGTTAAAATGCATTACTGGCACGTGAAACCTTAAATTAGAGTGAATAAATGAAGACTCAACACACCACTTCTGAAAGGTTGCCGACCCCTGGGCTAGATGGACCATTGAGCTGACTCAGTGTGGCCGTTCTTCTGTTCTTAGGCTATTTGCCTGGGTAAATTTCTCAGCATGGTTTGAGGGCTCTGCAGTCTGGCCCTGAGAGAGTAATATAGGTTAATGACCTCCAGTTTCAAGTATATGTTAAATTTATTTAGATCTGGCTGAGAAGTATTTTCAAGAGAGCATAAATGCTTTTCAAGAAGCTGAAGGGATGGAGAGTACTAAATGCCTTGGAGCTGTGGATGATTTCTGTCAGTTTCTTATAGCCACTGGACAGCAGGAGGTAAGGAATTTTGGAAGATCACTCTGTCTTTATCCATTGACACACTTTATAAGTAGTGGGGGGGGTTGTATATTTTTTTGATAGAACCTTTCCACAGAAATGGCATTGCTCTCACAGTCAGTTCATGATAGAGATGATGGCGAAGAAAGAGGAGACTAAATAAGTAATTAATATTTTTTGTTTAGAATAATTAGGGTTTTTTCCATTTGGGAATTATTATAAATAGCTCATGATTTTTAGGATTATGTTATTTGCCTTTTTTATAAATAGTTTGTTTTCATCTTGATCTCTGTGATCATTCACTATGTGCTATATAGCATGAATGGAAAGTGATTGGTCACCTCAGGCACATGATATTGTTTGTTTCCTGATTGGATGGTCTGAGCTTTTAGAAATAGAACTCCCTTTTTCTGTATGTACCTTATATACCAATATTCGTAATTGTTTGAATCTATTATACAAATAAAAACAGATCTTCAAATTGTCTGGGAGAGTACTTCTGAAACAGGTAATCTCACTAGTATTTGCACTACTATTATTTATTTTTTGTATAACAGTAGCACCCAGAAGCCCTAGTTATAGACTAGGATCCCATTGTGCTAAGCGCTGTATACAAACAGAAAAGAGGTCCCTAATCTAAGTAGTATTCCCAACATGCTTGCTTCCAGCAAATGTTGTTGTGAATAAAATCTCTGTCAACTACACTTTTTGATAGAAGAGCTTGCAAATATCAGCAGGTTTTATGCATAAAGACATTCACAAATACTCTTGTAATATCCTTTTGTCTATATTTAGGGATCACCAATACAATAATTTAAAGCCTATTGAAAACAATGGGACGCTTTGCACTGAATTTAATAGACTCTGAATCAGGCACTATTAATATATGATGGGCAGAGAAAGAGAAAATCCTTGACCTAAAAAAACCAAAATAATTTCATTAGTTACACTAGTAAGACACTAAAGAGTCGTTCTTTCTTTTCACCAATTTCTTTTTGAAAATGAACCCAGAATTTCACCATCTGAAGTTTTCATTTTGCACACACAGTTTTTTGGTGCCTGTTATTTCCTGTCTCACATTTAACTAAAGAAAATTTGGCTCAGATAATAGACCACACTCAGAGTGTGTTTGTTGTTTGTAACTGTAATAAAGAGAAGTGATTTTCATTGTTATATAACAACAAACAGAAGTTATCTTATATCTTATAGCAGCTGATGTTGTTCTCCTTCCCTGACCTGTTTTTAATTTTTTTTGGCCATTTTTCCTTTCACAGAGAGCAGCAATAATGCTGAAAGGATCATTAGAAGCTAAAATATCCCTATGTGGGGATCTCAGCCCGGAAGAAGCAGAGACATACTGGCTCCTAGGAGGAACAGAACTGGCACAAGGACACACACATTTGGCATACAAGAAACTTAAGAAGGTAAAACCATAAGCTTATGAATAGGCCAGGATAAATGACATTTTTTTATACTGGTAAGTTATGCCCTGGCAAAACTTTCTTTGGCAAGCTGAAGCCTCTTTGTACTGTGATCTGCGTGAACAAATATAGTGCCCTCTAACCTAGTGTAGGGGAACTGACCTGCACAGAGTAGCAGCAGAATTAGGGCAGTGCAAAGGTAAGCTTTAAGCCACTCTCACACATCCATCCCTGGCTCGCACACTGTGCAGTTTGGTCCCATTACACAGGATCTGACCCTAACACCTGCACTTTATACCTCAAGGAGAAAGTTAGGCTTTTAGCTCTGCTATCTAGTATCATGCAATGTTTAATTCATGCCTTACTTTGTCAGCACTTACTAAAACTTTGCTGTAGTAAGAAATGTATATTCTCCTGAGAGGATCCTCTGCATCCTTATGAACCTTCGCACATTCCCCTCTTTTCCACCCCCCTCCTTTGAGTCTCAGTACTGAGGCTACCAGTTCTCTGTTAGACTCCGACAGTCTTTGAAATCCATTCCTTCTTTCTCAGATGCTGGTGATGAAAGGAATTCTTCTTCCCCTCTGCCCCAGCAAGCAGAAGTTTTTGTCTGGGTTTATATTTTTAATCTCGAATAACCACTTCTACAAAGAATTTTTAATTGCAGTAAACTAAACTAAAATATGGGTGTGTGCCTGTGTATATCAGTATTTGCCTTCCAGAATCATTGTTCTACTTTTATTCTGCTAGAAGCACATCATAAAAAGGAGAAACACAGGTTGCGTTTTTAAGGGCTTGATCATATACTTGTGTAACCCCTTTTGGGTTTAGAGAGTATGGCCCCTTTAAAGCTTTTTCCTAAGGGGGAGGGGGAGAGTAAGAAAAAAGGAGGGAAACTCCAGGGGGCAGCGCTGGAGCTCCAAGGAGATGGAGAGGCAGCCTGAGGCCCTGGAAAAGTGAAGGAGAGAGAACCTGCCTGAAGCCTGGGAAGGACAGGGCCGATCGGGGACACCCCAGGACAGGAGCCAGGAGGAGCACTGTGCCAGGGAGGAATTGCCCGAGAAGGACAGGCCAGATCTGGACCCAGTATCACGGCTGCCCAGAGCTGTATGGGGCTGTGAGTACTGGAGCTTGGGACTCTGCATTGGGAACAAGGAGGGAGGCTGTAGCTAGTTAAGTGGGGAGGTGGTCGCTCTGTGGGGCTTTGCAGAGAGCGGCAGAAGAGGGCACCGGAGGGGTTTGTTGGGGGAAAGTTCACTGGCGCCGAAGACGACCAGGAGCACCCAAGACTCACCACTGGACTGGAACTTTGCTCAGGACTCCTGAACTCTGTGTGCAGACAAATTGCTCAGTGTCTGCCCTTCCAGACTGTGCTACCACTGGGCCCATGGGGCCTTGGCTTGGATGCAACCCTGTTCTACTGCTCCCCCTACATTTCCCCTTGTTGTTTTTCTCCTCTCATCCCTCTGTAAATAAATATTTCCCTTGTTATATCCACTGTACTTTTCCTGTGGGGGTGTGTTCACTCTGGGGGGTTGGAACAGGTGCCCCTGGGGCGGAAGGGATTTCTCCTGCTGCATTTCTGCGCGCGCCTTCTCTTGGCCAGAGCTGCCTGAGAGCAGACTCCATCTTGGTCACGAGGGCGCTAAAGTTATACTTGTTGAAGTCAATGACAGAGTTCCCATTTACTTTAATACAGCAGGATCAGGGCCTAAATGCATTAAACTCAGTCATTCTTTACAAATGTTTAAAGAAGCATCCATGCTGCATTAAAATCAATGCTAAGAAAAAGGCATTGGTATCTAGGACATTATCGCCTCAAAATTTAGGCAGATGTCCCAAAAAAGGATTCTATGATACAGTTCTGTTTGGGGTTAGAAAATTAATGGGATGATTTTAACACATTGCCCATTTCTAAATTTCACAGGAAAATTCCATAGATGATGGAAAAACTAGCAGTTGTTTTGTAGTACAGAACATACGTTTCAAACATGGAAAACCAAATACTCTATTAACATGCTTTGGGATGTATGCTAGCGAAGCAGGTGTTTTTAATGATTTCCCTATACTCCATGCATACCTAGAAAAGGTGGCCTCTTATTTCACAAATGCAGTTTTCACCCTGCCATTTCCAGGCACAAATAAGTGCACATGCAATTGATGTCCCTTAAAGCATTAAGCAACCTAGTAGTTCCCCCAAATTAGATGGATTTTGTGACACCAGTTGCAGCTGTAGTTATTTGCAGTAGTTAAAATGCAGGAACAAAATAGGAGGCCAAGTGAAGGATCATTAAAAACAGGCACTATGTGTTTTATTACATGTAACTTTAAGAAGTACATTGATTTACATACCATGAATTTTGTTTTTAGGGAGAAGGGGAAGGAATTAGTGTTCTCGTCTACTTTAATGATAAATTCTACTCTTAAGATAAGATGACCTTATAAATACCTTTCATAGACATTAAAAGAAATATCTTATGACTTTGTGAAAGCACATTCAGCTATTTTATTTAGTTATAGAAACCTCTAGCAGCTTAAAGAAATTGGAATTGTAATATTGTGTGATTAAGGCTGACTCTAATTTTAAAGAGTAATATACAAGGTTACAACAGAATAATTCTTTCATACCACAATACTCAGAAGCTGGATATTTTCCTGTGCTCTCTTGAATAATGGTGTGCTGTTATTGGCCTGACTGGAAAAAAACCAACATATTAAACAATACGACTTTTAGAGACAGATTTCTCAAATCCAATGGGCAATTTAAAAATGTTTGATTATTGTAAGTAAATATCATGCTTGTGAAGGTGCTGAAGTTTCAAAACAATGGAAAATTATCACCTCCTCATTCACTGAGCAGGTACAGTGAGGCAGTAGAAATATCAGCTTCCCACAGTGCTCTTCCAGCGTGTCCCAGCTCAGAGTTAAAAGTTAGCTCACTCTCTGTGTCCATTCAGTTAATGATCTTGCTGCTAAAACTGCCCTACAGTAGTGTTTTCTATAAAGTAAACATTTTCTGCTAGAAACTTGACTAAGGCAAATTCATTTAACATAGGCCACCAAATAGAGAAGTGTTAACAGCCCAGACTAGATTTAAACTGGTAACCTACATTTGAAATGTTTCACTACCAAACACGGTTTATGTATTTTTTTTCCACTTTGGATTCTTTATTAATTAGTGAAAGCAGCCCCATTAAAACATTAAGGGCTGGGTTTCCAATAATTGAAGCCCATGGTCTATGTCAGGGGTCGGCAACGTTCGGCACACGGCTCGCCAGGGTAAGCACCCTGGCGGGCCGGGCTAGTTTTATTTACCTGCTGACGCGGCAGGTTCGGCCGATTGCGGCCCCCACTGGCCGCGGTTCGCCGTCCCGGGCCAATGGGGGTGGCGAGAAGCGGCGCGGGCGAGCGATGAGCAGCCGAACCTGCCGCGTCAGCAGGTAAATAAAACTGGCCTGGCCCGCCAGGGTGCTTACCCTGGCGAGCCGCGTGCCGAACGTTGCCGACCCCTGGTCTATGTGTATACTCTTGTATACTCAAGCCATTTGCGTACATAAAGGAGCAAATAACTCATTAGTGCATGCAATTTCTGTGACTGTGCACGGGCTGTGCATAAATGGGCACCTACCATCGGGCTCAACTTTCTGAAAATTAGGTCCAAAGGATGAAAAGGTGTAAATCTGTTAAATTCCTTTCAAGAAACAAGAACTAATGGCTGGTTTTAGATAATAATACTTCACACTCATAAAGTGACTTTCATCAGAGGATCTCAAAGCAACTTACAAAGGTAGTTACGTACTTTTCCCTCCATGTTACAGATGGAGAAACTGACAGAGATGAGTGATTTGCCCAAAAGTCTCTTTACAGTCTATCCTCTATTTTAGCTGCTAGACTGTGCCAACTCCCTTATAATTTACTCTGCATTCCTTTTGTGTACTTCTCCTTTTTTAATCTTTAATCAAAAAAGGTACTATAGACGTGAGCTAGCAGACAACATGCAGGGTATAGTTACGCCCCCATTCTGGTATAGCGACAACTCACAACAAAAATAATCTACAGTTAAGTCTGAACCTTTGCAATTGCCCTATTTAGTATTTGGAATGTGTGAGGCCAGCAGCCTCTTAGTGGGGCTTGTTGTTGCAGGCTACTTTAGCTGCGCATTCTGTGTTCGGCTGTTCGTATCACAACAGCAGCTGCAGCAGCAGAGTTCCCCGCTTAACTACATGGAATCCATTTAAAACAGAAGCTTTTCCAGATGTAGCTTTCCCTGTGCTGAGGGGTCTGTCTGGTACATGGGTCTAAAAACAAATCAGAAGGTGAGATTATATTATGTAGTACAATGTAACATAATTCAATAATCAGTTGAAGGAGCTAGCCTGAACTGAGAAATATGGAAGGGCTCTGTAGGACTTCAGCTGAAAAGAGAGAGTCAGACATTTTTGTATCATAAAGTCCCTTTTTCACCTTAAGGCAAATAAAGCTCTAAACAAGTTTTTACATGTTATATAAGACTTGCTAATAATCTATGGCAGTGATTCCCAAACTTGGGACGCCGCTTGTGTAGGGAAAGCCCCTGGTGGGCCGGGTCGGTTTGTTTAGCTGCCGCGTCCGCAGGTCCGGCCGATCGTGGCTCCCACTGGCCGCAGTTCGCTGCTCCAGGCCAATGGGAGCTGCTGGAAGCGGCGGCCAGTACGTCCCTCGGCCCTTGTCGCTTCCCGCTGCTCCCATTGGCCTGGAGCAGCGAACCGTGGCCAGTGGGAGCCGCGATCAGCCGGACCTGCGGGCGCGGCAGGTAAACAAACCGGCCCGGCCCGCCAGGGGCTTTTCCTACACAAGCAGCGTCCCAAGTTTGGGAAACACTGATCTATGGAGTCTAATAAAGTCAGATGTAGTCTAAGAATTTATTTCAAGGCATCATACTTTAAATCTTAGACCAACCCACTTAATAAATCACCATTTACAATAAAATTCATCAACTTATTTATTGTATGTACAAATAAGAATTTCATAGTACTGACTGATCACAGGAACAGAACATAAACTATTCCTATGCATATTCCATATCAAATAGAATATATGCTGTTTATCTCACACAAGCACAGGCTAAATCACCAAACTGGCTATATTGTGTAGTGAGAAGAGCTCTTTAGAAAAGCTATAGGGACCCATAAAGTTTAATTGTTTCTCAGCTCAGAAAATTTATAAAAATTACACTAGTAAAGACCGATATTCGTGACATCTTAGATGACTATTTGGACTTGCTCTCATCATATTTAATGTAGGATGTGTGCCCACAATACATCAATTTACAGCATAGTGTTATGGCATAGTGTCATATAAGAAAATAGAGTGAGGACAGAAGTATGATTTTTAAGTTGACCATTTTCCTTTAATTCCAAGTCTTTGTCAAAATATGCTAACTTCACTGAGTGAAATACTAGCTTTAGGCTGCTGAATCCAAAAACAGTTACCATGTCAGTACCTTGAAACAATCTGTTGGTATCATTGGTGTCTTTTACCATGACGCTTGTCAGTGCCAAAAGTGTTCCACGTCTTTAAGGTTATTATTACATGTCACCACTATTTTTATTAACCTTACTTCATTATGTGTTCTGGGTTTGTAACTAATGGCACATTCCTGTAGCCAATGGCATAGCTGTGGGTGGGGAGGGAAGGATCTAAGTGTCTGTTTCAGTCTTTCCTCTCTGACATATTGAGGTCTTCAACTTTTCAAAACATCTCACTTTAGCTGTGTTTCAGCTAGTTTTATTAGTGAAGGAAGGAACATTCCCTGTGTTACCAGCTATGTGTGAGCAGATGTATGTTCTGAGACTTTGTGTGATATTTATTTTTATAGTTCTGATTTTTTTTCTTACTCTAGTCCAGACTTCTCAAACATTAATTAGATCAGGGAATGATTAAAATAAAAAAAAACACTGTAGTGCTACAGTTATTCAGTTAACATAAGAACATGCTTGCAATGTCTCTGTGATCTCCACTTGAAGGTTAGGTCCTTGCAAATACATTTTTAAAAAAATATGGTGCATTTAAAATTAAACCTTGACCTTTAGAGCTGGCTGAAAGCATTCTGATTTCCTCCCCCTGAGTGAACAAGATCTATTTTTGTATGAAGTATCATTAGTCTTTAAAACATGGATATCTGAAGACCCACTTCAGCTTGTAACTAGCTAGCTGACAACAACAAACTTTAAGGATAATTTTGGACAGTGTCTTATTAAAACACAAAACAACTGTGTTATTAAAGCTTGCTGTTAGCAGGAAATACCTGTTTCTCTGATCCTCTGTCTTCTGCTTAAGAGGACAAAACAAAAATGGTAAGCTCTTTAGCACAGGGACCAGTCTATCTTTTGTGTTTGTACAGCACCTAGCACAGGGTGGGTACCACCAGAAAATATAAATAATCATATTTTTTGTGAGAATTTTTTTTTCTCACTGTTCTGCGAGGAAACAGCTATTTGTCTGAATTTCCAATGCACATTTTTTTAAATTAATGTTTTAATATTTTCAAGGGCTAATCCAATGACTACATGAGTTCAGATTACTGTATACAGATTAGAGATGCACCAAATGAACAGAATAAATAAAAACCAGCCAGAACCTTCCCTCCACCATGCAAACCAAATGCAATTTTTATTTTTAGGTACAAAACAGTTTGATTAAGATTATTTTTAAATTTTAGTCTGTTGTTCCTGGTTTTGGCTGGAAACTCTTTAGGGTTTTAGAGTAATTGCTGTAGATCCCTATTAGTTTCACCCCTGTTAAATTATGTAAGACTTTGCCATAAATACAATTTGTTTTACCAGGAACAGAATGCAACATAAACTCTGAGCTAAATTCTCCACTCAATCATATACAAGTGGTTTTCTTTAAGGTGAATGTGAACTCTTATTTTCATTGTTAGCTAAATGAATACCCCTGTAACACACACACACCACTATATAATCACAGTTTGTACAATCAAAAAAATAATTTTATGCTTAGTAATCCAATAGCAAATATAAATAGTTATCTTCACCACCCTCCCTCTTCATTTCACAGCTCCAGTGGAAGTGGCTTTATGAAACCCAGGGATATGACAAATTAGTCTTGTTCTTATTTAATTTGATGGCTAATTATTTTGTAATATGATTAAAATTTTCTTTATGATATCTGTCTTTATTTGTACAAATAAATGTGTTTGTTTTTCCTAGCTTGGCTTTTGTGATCAAAATATTTTGGATCAGATTCTGATGGTATTATGTATCTTATTAAATTATGTTTTGCAGTGCCTGTACCTTCAGACCCTCTTATATGGCACCCACAACAAAAGGACTATAGCAACCCAGGAGGCCATTGACTTGTCAAAGTGAGTGAGTTTTCAGTCTTCTTGCCTGATCTTCCTTTTATATGCTGTTACATTCTGTGTTTTCCTGCACGTCTCAGAGATATTTGGGCCGTAGAGCTCACAGAAATGTCTGATGGAAAAGAAAGATGACCCACACTGTTGGAAAGTTCACAGGGCAACAGTTTGTTGAATATAACACTCTAGTTTAAGGATAACTCTTCAGACTTCCACATCAGTGATCTAACCACAGCCTACAGAGATTTTGAGATGTGCAACCACCACCGCTTAGATTAATCATAGCAGCAAATAAAATTCAGAGGAGGGTTGATTCCCTTTCACCTTCATTCCCACCCCACTCCAAAAAACGAATTAGCAACACTGGCAGTGTAGTTCACATATTAGGTCCCTACATCTAATAGACATCATCTACATCATCACAGTCCTAAAACTGTTGCTCAACATCTTCCTCAGTCACTAACTGAGAAGATGTTGCCATAAGTAATCTTGTAGCATCCCCCTCTCTCTCAGAGAATGACAAATTGAGCCATTACAGAAATCAAGTAAAGGCCAGGATTAGGAGAACAACAATCCATTGAAAGCATCAGTTCCCAATTATAAAAAGTGTTTGGCTCTATGGATGAGCTGAGTATTTCAAGATATGCAGTGCTTACAGGGGCTGTTAATCATTCATATTTTGTAAATTAAGTGGTGAATAGTGGAACTTGACAATGACCTATGATTTACAACACCCTTCCTTTTTTCAGGGCCCCAGATGTAGCAGCAAAACAGAGACGATCAGATAAAAAAGACCACCATACTGTACTATTGTGCAACAGTACTCCATAGTGGGAAGGTCCAAAGCCAATATATATATATGACAGGTTTCTCATGTTTACTTCTGAAGACTGAACCTGTATCTGCAAGTGTCTGTCATGCAGAACTGAAATTCGTTATTGGATTAAATACTGAATGTAAAGCAAACTTTCGTGGGGATAGATTACTTACCTTAACGGATACAGAAAAAAAATTAATACAGGTGAATGCTATTTTTAATTTTTATACTCTTGGATCATAGCGTTTTAAGATCATGTAATAACAGCCTCTTCAGTTCTCTCTCTTGTGAAACAAAAATATTTTTTTTTCCTGTTTGGAAATACAAAACTGCCTCACTAGTAACATAAATTTACATCAAAAATAAGATTCAGGCAGGCATTGCTGTTTCTGCACTGCACGCTTATAGCTTCTTGAACAAATCTGGATTTTAATTTTTTCTATTTAGTCTATTCATAAAGGCACGCTATTACCTTGATAGCCATGCACCATTAACTGCATTGTGCAAAAACTATTAAAATCTTTTTGTTTGGATGGTTAAACACAATAGGGTATGAGTTAGGAAAATAACCCCACCCCCCAAAAAAGTTGACAATAGGGTGAGGTATTTTTTTCTTGTTTTTAAAGAAGTCTTTCTTTTGTATCAGATATGTGTAACTTTAAGCAAGTTCTGCCATGTGAAGAACATCTAGGGTTCATTTGATCTCAGGACTCTTCCTCCCGCTGGCAAATGATGCCATAGCTGAAGTGTACTTGATTTCAAGCTGAAAAGTACCAGCTGCTGCTACCCACAGCACAATTCGGAAGGGAAAAACAGGATCAATAGGGTCAGCTACACAATGAACTTGCATGAATAATTGCAGATCATATCATTTAAAGATTTCACTTTCTAATCTAGTGGTTGTGGGGGTTCAGTGCTTACATCTGTTCTCATATTTGGCTGTAGGGATTTTTATGCTGCAGGAAGAATACAGGTTCATCCCTGGTAATTTTAGGACCATTTAAAAAGAATTTTGGATATAAAGATGTGTGTATCTCTGGTAAGATGTTACCTTCAAGAGTTCAGTACTTTATGGAAAGAGTAGTTTCCATGGAATCATTTGATGTTAGCATAACTGAGAACCATGTTAAATCTAGGAATTAAGATAGGGTGACCAGACAGCAAGTGTGAAAAACCAGGACAGGGGGTGAGGAGTAATAGGAGCCTACATAAGAAAAAGACCCAAAAAATCTGGACTGTCCCTATAAACTTGGGACATCTGGTCACCCTAAATTAAGATCTTAAACCATGTGCTGAAAAAACAACCCAAAGTGATGGCCATCTCATTCTTCAGAGAGATGCCGTTACAGCTCTGATTCACAGTACCTTTCGGGAGAGTCACTCAGAAGAGGAGACTAAAACCTCAATTAGCAGTTTAGGGAATAATGTCCCTTAATTATAAAATGAAGGCCGAAAACATGCTTCTGGTCTGAGTCTTTGGTTTCAGTGAGACCATTCGACCACTTCCATGTCACCATTTACCAGAAAGCACCAATCCTATTCTTTTGCAAGAACTGAAGAGCTTTATATTTTTCTTAACTTAGACTCAGCAGAGCTGGCTGGTGTCTCTAGATAAATTTTCCTCCTTCATGTCATAAATGACCACTACACATTTATGGTTTGAGCATTGGCCTGCTAAACCCAGGGTTGTGAGTTCAATCCCTGAGGGGGCCACTTAGGGATCTGGGGCAAAATCAGTACTTGGTCCTGCTAGTGAAGGCAGGGGGCTGGACTCGATGACCTTTCGGGGTCCCTTCCAGTTCTATGAGATAAAGGAAGGACACATGTGACTTGGCCAGAGGGCTAAACCACAAGCACGCAGCATCTTGCCTTGCTGCGATCCAGGAAGAAAGGCAGGGCATGCGGTGAGAGGCAGAAAGGAGGCACTGGACTTGGAATCAGCTAGTCCCCAGAGCAACCAGGAGAAGGTGCACTAGCCCTGAGCAGACCCCATGACAGAATGGCATAATTCAGCCAAATCTTAGAGCAGCAGGAAAACTATGGTTCTCCTGTCCACTCCAACCACTTCGGGTTTATAAATGCCCTGCCCCTTCTGCACCCTGCTGCTAAGAAGGCACCTCAGCCACTCCAACCATGCTGGTTAAATGAGTCAAGGAATAACTAGTTGCTGTGTTTTTACTCTGTCCCTGCCACCACAGTGATACAAGCACTTCATACTCCGGAATGAAAGAATGTGTTCTTTGAACTGAAAGGGGCTCATGGACCTGAACATACAGAGAGACCTCAAAGCATGAGACATGAAAACTTGGATTTCGTTTTCCTTTGCTAATGGAGATTTATAAATACCAACCAGGGGGCGAGGGGGAAGGAGAAGAAAGAAGCATATACACAGTCTTTTTCATTGTTTAATACTGAATGTGAAAAAAGTGCAAAAATCATGAAACCACAACGGCAATGCAGACTGCATCGTAAATAACCATACCACAAGCTGCCTGCAAAGTCTCACAGCTGACATCAACAAACCCTGCCTCAACATGTCTACAGTCTTTTAAACACCTGCTATAGCAAACATCAATCTGTACAGAGCTGTAGCTCTCTCATATATCTCTTCTTACACGTATATACTCCATTTTATTTGCTTTCAAATCCAAAAGTGTACATGTTTAAAGATTATTATAGTCCCCCACTTCTGAGGTAAACTACCTCAAGCATATAAATACAAACTTCTACTGAATAAAACTAGTAGTTACATTTTAACAAAATTCTATTTGTTAAATTCAAACTCAGCAATTACCTTATTTGTATTTAATGAAAAAAAGAACAGCAAAGTTTCTATGAGTAAGCTTCAACAGTGTGTGCTGATTGAGGCCATGTTATCAATCCTTCCAGCTCCACGCTATCAATAAAGTAATTACACACAAAGCTGTTAAATAGGGCGTGTCAGTAACACACAACCCTCAGAGTAGTAGGTTATATTGCTCTGGCTAGGAATAGAAGCATGTGAATTAAGACCTGGATTCTGCTACCACAGTGGTTTTCAACTTTTTTTAGGGGTTCACAACTGAAAATTTTTGAATGGAGGTGCGGATCCCTTTGGAAATCTTTGACATAGTCTGCAGACCCCAGGTTAAAAACCACAGTTCTATGATAACGACACGCTTTCATGGACCCCTTAGACAGTCTGCAGCCCTCCAGGGGTCCATAGACCATAGGTTGAAAATAGGGTGACCAGATGTCCCGATTTTATAGGGACAGTCCCAATTTTTGGGTCTTTTTCTTGTATAGGATCCTATTACCCCCCACACCTTCCCGATTTTTCACACTTGCTGTCTGGTCACCCTAGTTGAAAACCACTGTGCTAACACATCCAGATGGAGGTGGAATCTGCACAGATCAAATTGCAACATCAGGGCCCAAGTCACTACCTCTTTGTTTCCTGGAAGAGTCATTACCCGAAGGTGGATGTCGTGCAAAAAAATAAAATAAATCTGTGGCTCTTTCCCAGTTTTCAATAATACTGAAGGTGATGACATAATGGGATTCAAATGGAGAATATGCTGCTTGCACAGTCTTCTTCAAGGCTTATATCCTTTCATTAAACCTAGTTTTTATGGCTTGAGGGAACTCATCCATTGGAATGACTTCATGTTACTGTTCTTTTCCAATTCGTTGGGACAAACCTAAACTCTTCAAGCAGCAGATTAAAATTCTGATTCAATCTAGAATTAAAGCACTTAAATTTATGGAACAAACCTTTTCTGCTCCAAACAACTAAAGCAACCAATAACAACATAAATACATCTCAATATGACCTACTACATCTGATAAGTTAATGCTGTTAAAGGACATTTTAAAGAGCAGCTGGTGCTTCCTTGGAAACGTTTTATTTAGAAACAATACTGACATGGTCTCTTTTTTTCTTCTCCTTCAGTACTATGGACATCTGTATAAACCAGGAATTTATGATTCATTTACTCCTTGCTGGTTTTTCCTTCACACGATGTCCTAATTCTCTGAACAATGGAAGAGAAATACAATCTAGCATCAGTAGAATTGTTTCTAAAGAAAATAGGTCTCAAAGTTTTCCATGAGGCATCAATAAATGCGGTTGATATTATTGGCCCTCTTATTTGTGGCAGGAGAAGACATATTCTGCAGGTATCCTTATGTCTATTTTAAGAGAGCTTTTTTTTAAGTTTCAACTTCAAACCAAATATGCAGAAAACTAAAGCTGATACTTTTCAAACCTGTGTGCCTAAAATTAGATACCTAAATTATGTTTAAGTAAATATTTTAATAAAATTCTATCAAAGTATGAAATTACATGTCTAACTGAGCAACCATGTTTGAAAATTTTTGCCTAACTCCCATATAGGAATTTTTTAAAATCTAAAAATGCATTATTTTGTTAGAATTTTTTTTTAAACCCAGTTCCAGAGAGGATCTACTAAGGCAATGGAATTTTAAGCTGTTCTTTGAGCTGTAATCATTCATGAGCCCCTTATCGGTCAATGGTAGCAAAAGTATGTTTTACAGGAGCATATATGAATAATTCTGACAAATATATCTGTTATGTGATTAAGAACATAAAATAAATGTAGCATGCACACCTTGGATGCATCTGCACTACTCAACTTCATATGTGTTTCCAGCACTAAGGCCACTGTTCCCTCTCTTCCAAGCTCAGAGAACTCCATCAGTGCTGGAAAACTGATACAAAATTTTGCAGTGCAGACAAGGCCCTATACTTAAACCTTGAAATGCTGATAATTACTTGAAGATACCTGGTATAGTCTCAATCTTGGTAATGAAGGCAGATCCTAATACACTAGTTTGTCTCATATGAAAAGTAGGTTAAGATGTTAAACTACACGTCATCTATTTCCACTTCACATTTAAGTCAGTACTGCAAAGTAGTAGTCAGTTTTATAAAATCTAGCTTCTACTGATACGAAAGAAACTGAGAAGTTAATGAAGGCCACACCACAATAAAATAATTTAGTTGGATTGTAATTTGAGTTAAACACACACAAACTATGTTTAAGCAACATTGCGCTTGTGACCAAAACCAAACCACAAGAAAGGAATTCAGAGTTAAAGGCTAATAGTCTGGCACTATAGGGCTGTCCGGGTTTAACGCGTGGTTCTACTTTCAGAGCATGTGTGTATAAAAATGGCAGCTTCTTATTCCATATATCTAACTCACTGTGTACATTCAGAAGTGTGTCTATAACAAAAGCCGTGCATGGGCTAGCCTCCCGAGCTAGCTTAAATCCAGCTAGCACAGGTAACAGTAGCAGTGAAGAGAGCACAGTACAGGCTTCAGCACAGGTACTACAAGTTCGGCAGAGACCCTGGGGAGGTACTCACCTTGCTAGTCCGCGCTGAAGCCCACTACTGTTATGTTAACAGGCTAGCGGGATTCAAGCTAGCTCAAGGTTAGCCCTTGCACAGCTTTTGCTGAGTAGGCATACCCAGAGTCAGATCTTCTTTTTACTGTCAACAATAAATGTTTGTTACTCTTTTTGCTCCTGTTAGCACTGCAGGGCTAGTACAGCTACCGGAGAATGAGCTGGATGCTATTCTTGATTGGGCACCAAAGAATTAACTCAATTCTAATTGCAGGACTGAAATATGCTCCTCAGTTACACACTTGAGCAAACCCAATAAAAACAACGGCATTTCAAGTGCTGTAACTGAAGGTAGAGTGTGGCCCGAGAAAATCTATTACTGGTGAGGAGAAGTCACAAAGAATCCAGAGGCGTGACTTTCAGATCCTAGGTTGAATATACAGTTAGAAAAAAAAAAAACATCTTTTTAAACAGAGAAAGGTTGATCTGGAAACTGAGACACAATGAACATGGAAGCCATCAATGCCATTTTTTCAGTCACTTGTCAGAGAAGAACCACACTTGAGCTAATCCCACTGTGCCAAGGCATTATATCGTATGGTATATGCCATCCCACTCACCTTAGGCATTTGCAATACCTAACATCAGAACAGTACTATATACTGAGATTAGTCATTTCACATATCACTATGTAGAGCAGGGATCACTATGTATGGCACGCGGCTTTCCAGGATAAGCACCCTGGTGGGCTGGGCCGGGCCGGTTTGTTTACCTGCCGTGTCCGCAGGTTCGGCCGATTGCAGCTCCCATTGGCCACGGTTTGCAGCTCCAGGCCAATGGGGGCTGCGGGAAGCTGCGCGGGCCGAGGGATGTGCTGGCTGCCCTTCCCGCAGCCCCCCATTGGCCTGGGACGGCGAACAGCGGCCAGTGGGAGCCGCGATCGGCCGAACCTGCAGACGCAGCAGGTAAACAAACCGGCCCGGCCCGCCAGGGGCTTTCCCTGACGGGCCAGGTGCCAAAGGTTACCGATCCCTGATTTAGAGTCATTGAAGTTGGAGGGATTTTACCACTGATTTCAATGTAACTAGGATTTAGCCTATGGTTTTCATCCATTTGCCTACTGATTCTCTTTAAAAATATTAAAAACATTACGCTTTGTAAAGGCAAACCAAACATTTTCCTGAAAACAATATGACTGATGTAGTCTTACTGCTTTTCTTTTTAGTATCTGGTTCTAACTATAAAGGTGACAAAGGTTTCCATAAATTTTTGCTATGCATGGTTTGCTTAGAAAGAGTTTGACTTCATAGTTGTAATTATTTCATTTTTCCTAAGATTTTACTATTATTTATTGCACATGAGCATGGAACTTAAAATCAATTGCCTGCATGCCTTAATCTAATACTCTTCTAATAGTTATTGTTACTCATTTTGCCTGTGGTTAATACTTTGAAATCTAAACAGAAATGCTGAATTAAGTATCCCAGTACAACACAGGGTTCAAAAGTTGATAGAAAAATCCAGGTCAGACTCTCACTTGTGGATTAGCTCAATATAAAAAAAAAAAAAAAAAAAAATAGATCCTGAAAAATCTCCAGCAGAAACTTCCTGTCCTGGAGACTGAAGAAACTTGAAGAAACTGGAAACAGGTCAGTGAAAAAAGAATTTGCAATAGAGGGAGCTCTCCCTTAAAGAGCTTTCACAAATTAGGGGAAAGGATGGTGAATATACTGAGGCTTGGATTTAAAATTGTCAGTCCAATGTTGGTGTAGTAGTGGGACAGTTCCTTTTAAAAAGACGGCAGTCAAAAATCTCTGTGATAAACAAGCTGATAAGCAAGGTTATATTAAAATGTCCTTTCAGAACCAGTCTCCATCATTATCTTCTTCCCCCTCTTCTTCTTTGTCTAGATACACAAGGGCAATTTTCTTTTCATCAGAAATCACTGACCTTTGGTCTACAAGTCTTTGCAGTTGTACACTTTTTTCAAATGCTGACTTCTCTGTTACTTGTTCACCATGAGCCTGGGAAGCATCAGGAAAAACACTTGCTTCTTTGGTACTTTCACGGTCAGTGTCCTTCTGGTCACTTTCAACCACAACCTGTGACTGTCTAACATCAGGCTCCTTTCTATTTGATACAGTGACTGTAGCTGCTTGTGTTTTCCCTTCCACCACAGGCACTCCCGCCACATTAGTTACATCCATTTGAAAAGTAAAAGATGTTTCCTGGGGTCCTAATTTAATATGCCTTATAGATCGGCTGCTCTCTGATGACCCTTCTGTCTGAAAATGATCACCCATTGTTTCAGAAATGGGTCCTTTAAAGATGATTTGCTCTGTATGAGTTTCTGTGGGACTCAATTTAATGAGCCTGATGGATCTATTGATATCTGAGTTTCCTTCACTCTCTGAAAGACTTCCTCCTGCACTACTGATCTCTGGAGATTTAGAAATGGAGCCTTGATATACGACTTGTTCAGTAGTTTTAATTTCCTTTTGACCTAATGTAATATGCTTTATTGAACCTTCTGAATGAAAACTGTCTCCTGATTCACTGAACTCCAGATGTTCAGAAATGGGCCCCTTGTAGATGATTTGCTCAGTTGTCATAAATTCTTTGGGACCTAATTTAATATGCCTGATAGATGCATTAGTATCTGACCTATGCTCCATCTGAGAGCTGTCTCCCATATTGCCAAGCTCTGCTTTTTCAGAAAGAAGCCCTTCGTATGTGATTTTCTCAGCTGAATGAACCTCTTTTTGTCCTAATTTAATGTGCCTTATTGAACTTCCTGTCTGAGAAAGATCTTCTGTGCCACTGAGCTCCACATTTCCAGAAATGGGCCCTTCAAATATTACTTGTTCTGTGTGAATTTCTTTTGGACTTAATCTAATATGCCTTACTGATCTGTTGGTATCCGTTGATCCTTCTGTATGAGAGAGATCCCCTGAGCTACTGAGCTCTAAAGAGTCTGAAATGGGCCCTTTGAAAATGATATCTTCGGTAATTTGCTGTGAACCTAATGTGATATGCCTCATGGACCTATTAATATCAGCTGAAAACTGTGGCTGAGCAAGATTTTCAGGTTCATCTACCGCTACAGTTTTAGTAACAGGCCCTTTATAAATGATTTCTTCTGTGGTTTGAATTTCCTTAGGACCCATTTTGAAAAGCTTCACAGATCTACCAGTATCCAATGATCCTTTTGTCTGAACAAGGTCTCCCCTACCACCGAGTTCCAAAGTTTCAGAAATGGGCCCTTCATATATGACCTGCTCAGTTCTCCGAATTTCTGTTGGACCTATTTTAATATGCCTGATAGATTTGTTAATATCAGTTGATAACTGTGACTGAGAGACTTCTTCTGCATTACCAAATTTTACAGCTTCTGAAACTGGACCTTCACGAATAACTTGTTCAGTGGAATGATATTCCATGCCATCCTTGCTTCTTACACTGGATGAGCTGTAAACCCCTTGGCTAGCCCAACGAGTGGATTTATTACTTGATGGAGAAATGTCTGTTTCTATGCTGCTTTTACCATCAGTCTGTCTGTCCAACTCTGGGTCGTTACGTTCATCAAAGCCCTCTTGTTTTGGGGACTTCAGAGACACCTTCTCAATCTCACTTGTGATGATGCCACCAAGCTGTGCAATATCAAACTGATCAGTGTCAAGGGTCTGGGACAGATTGACTTCAGCCACAATTGTCACCAAACCATCTTCGTTAGTTTGCTCAACTTTTTTGATGTCAACTGCCAAGCTACTGGAGTCAGCATGATTTTCTTTCGTTAATACAGCTAGTTCCTCTTTCACGCTTTCTGGAAGACTCCCCTCCAGTTGTTCCAATGCCTCTTTCAACTGTTGTTTAGGGTCCTTGGTTTCCTTCAATAAAAGCCCCTTTATTGAGGCCTGAAATTCATGTGGTATTTTAATCTCTTTTTCAATAACAATGGATTCTGCATGTGATGCTTCACCTTTTGGATGTTCCTCGTTTAAAACATAGGCACTTGCTTCCTCTCCCATCACCTGATACGTTTGTTCTGGTGAGCTCATGCTATCATCTTTTCTTCTTTGTGTGCCCCGCAAAAATTCATCTTGCCAAGAATATTTAATAGTCGATTCTTCTTCTATGTGAATTTGCCCATACACTGAGTCGTCATCTTTTCCATAATCATCTGGAGTAGATACAAAATATTTTTGTTCATCAATTGAGTCGTCTGCCTCGGTTACTTCTTCCATGTGGGTGAGGATCTCACGGGATTGTTTTTTCTTTTTAAAATCTTCAGCTGTAGCTGTGATGTTCTGCTCCCCCTCATCGCCATAATGCTGCTCCATACCAGGTGATGTATCCTCTACTTCCTCTACTTCAAATGGTGTTGAAAATTCACTCCTTTCATCAGTTGCAGATTCTAGTGGCTCCTCAACAATCTCAACATTAACGGACACTTTGCCTATACTGTCCCTTCCTTTCAGGCCAACATTTATTATATCTTCTATCACATCTTTGGATGGAATTCCCTTAGTATCTTCCAGAACCACTTTGCCATCCTTGTTTAACAGACTTCCTAGATCAACTTCATCAGAAATCGATATTTCTCCTTGAACTTGAGACTGCACTGTGATCTCAGTCGTCTCTTTCTCATCATCCTGTTTTTTCTTTTCAAGATAGTTTACTTTTGTATGTGGAGTTGTTTCTGAACCAGAAGATTGAACAAAACTTTTAAGAATATCAGCAACAATAGTTTCTGCTATGTTTTCTGTTGACAAAGTACCCATTCTAGGGCTACCTTTGTCACTAATTCCATGTTCATCTTCCAAATTGGGTTCTTTTTCTGAAACATTCACATTGAGAATTTCAACAGGTTCAATTGTATGTTCATCTGTCTCTCTTCCTACAGAGGTTTTAAAGCCTTGAAATGTTATTTCTGTGTTACTGTTCTGCAATATTTTGTCTGAAGTATACATTTCAACACTGATGGGTATCTCAACAGCTTCTTTGCTTCTTGATTCCAAGAACACATTTGTATTCCTTTTGGTTAATTCATCTTCTTTAATCTTTGCATCAGGGAGAAAAAATTCTCCCTCTCTGGCTGATTTATGTACTCTGGTTTGTTCTTCCCATGTAACATTTTTTCCCTCTTTGGCAGTGCTATCTTCCTTACTCCTGACTCCTGAAAAAATCTTTTTGTTATCATTAATAATCACTTCTTCCATTATATGTGTTTTCTGCTCTGGTTTTACCTCAGTCTTCTTTCCAAAATTAACACTTCTTTCTGCTGTAGTGGGTTTATCATCCATTTCCTTTTTCTCCAGGACAATATTTCTTTCCTCATTGACTGGTTGCTTATCTTTTTCTCCTAACAAGCCATTTTCCCCCTCTTTAACTGGTTTGTCTCCTTTTGTTTTTTCTTTCAATATAGTACGAGTGTCATCTAGGGTTTGTTCATATTTGGTTTGTTTAAAATTGGAATTCAGCTCATAAGATGGAAATTTAGTAAAATTATCTGGTTTTGTTCTTGTACTTTCAGAAACACCTGACCTTGTGTCAACTTTGTGGTCCTTGTTTGAACTTTGAACACTTGTCAATTCTTTCGAAAAAGAAATTGCCGAAGTAGTTGTAGCTTCTGTTCTCTTTCTTTCAGGAAATGTTTTTCGATGAATTTCAGTGTCTCCCCAAAGACCGTATGATGGAGTAAAGGTTTTGAACTCTCTATGGTCCTTCATAGTTCTTTCATAATTGGCATCCTTTTCAATAGTGGTTGATGGATGATATTCTGAACTAAGAATATCTTTCCTTAAAACTTTTCCACTATCTGTTGTCCAGGGTCCACCACGCCTTGTCTGAGTTGAATAAAGTGCAGAGCTGCGAATATTTGTTACTGGTGTTTTATGTCTAGTGTCAGCACTCTTGATAATCGGAAAGCTTTTCTTTTTATTTTCTTCTCGGTATGCAGAGTAACTATTAGTGTAGTCATAAGATGTATTTCTGACACCTGCAAGAAGAGTGTAGATAAGCAAAAATTAAAATACTATCTTGTATGTAAAATATAAAAATAATCTACGTACAATAACAGGGGCAAGCAATAATCTAGATATCATCTTAATGTAATGTTAAAATATTTATGAAGAAATAATGTCAATTCACTTTCAAGCATTCCAGCAGCAGTGCAAATAGGGCGGTACGGTACACCGTACCAGCAAGGTATTTATAGCTGGAACGGCACACCGAAAAGACACATGTGGAGCATTACGGCCAGCAGCTCCTCCGGCGCAGCTGTACCGCCCCCAGCCCTTCCACGCAGGGTCTCCTCCATCTGTACAGCAGCCCCGCCAGAGGACTGGGCTGGGGGCGGGGCTGGAGGCGGTACAGCCACCCTAGAGGAGCTGCCAGCGTGGGGCCCCCCGGTGGCCCAATGTTCTGCTCCTTTTCCTGCTGCGGTTCCCAGGAGAGCAGATTCTCAGAAACAGCTCACAGAGTTCATTTTTTGCTCGACAGCTAAAAATATACTGCAAGAAATTGACAGACCCATTGGGGAAAAAAATATAAAACAGTGACTAAAACCTACATTTAGAGGTCTACGTTTAATGTTCGCTTTTTTACCTTGTGGTATTTTTCTCCCCTGCTGATCAATCCATGTAATAATCCATTGGCTGCTCTCCCCTTCTAGTAAAGTTCTGAAACACACACATGCAAATTCCATTTGATTAAAAGAAAGAGAAAGAATAGTTAAAATATACTTTAGAAGTTTGGTGGCAAAGCACTATCACAGATGAACAGGAGAAAGGAGTATTACTTCCACTTTCAAACATGCTGACTGATACTAAGGAAAACAGAGTTCAAAATAGACTAGAGAAGGTAATTATTCTCAGTAATGCACAGATAATGAAGTAAAATCATGAAGTTGAAATCAGCATGATATATTTTGCAAAAAAGGTTTGGGTAACTTTTTATGGCGATAGTTATCTTGCCGATTCATCTTTCCCCTCCGTTTCTCAGCTTTCTGTTCTCGCTCTTTTTGGCAATCCCTCCCCAGTGTCTAAAATAACTTGCATGGTTTTAGGAAACCAGGGCGGCTGTAAGCTTTATTCCTGTAAAAGCTCCTCAGCCCAGCTACATGTGTTAGCTCAACAGCCGTTTACCAGAAACAACGAGAATACAAATTTTGTTTGGCTTCTCAATAAAGGGGTTATACCAGAAGCAAAAAAACAGGGGAAAAAGTCACAACTATCTGTTGTTGAACATCTGCATCTATCACTTTCACTTGCTGCCTATCCTCAGGACACCAGTACACTGCAGAGTCTGCCATACTGCATCCCCTATATTAGTGACAAACACAGCTGTCCTTAGGGACCAAGCCTTTAGCCAGCTTCATTGAGAATACTAGACTGTACTTAAAACGTTGGCTTAGAGCAGGGGTCGGCAACGTTCGGCACGCGGCTCGCCAGGGTAAGCACCCTGGCGGGCCGGGCCAGTTTTATTTACCTGCTGACGCGGCAGGTTCGGCCGATCGCGGCCCCCACTGGCAGAGTGCCGAACATTGCCGACCCCTGTCTTAGAGAATAAGAGCATAGAATTTTTTCGCCTGGCCACCATGCCTGGGAACATACTGTAGAGTACACCTAATATGCACCATACAGACACACACTGGCCACTGCTTATCCCAATATTTTGCTCATTCTGACTGGCAGTCTGACAATCAGACACAAACTCATCCTGTCCCTGCAAGTTGTGCTACCCTGAGTTTTTTCCCTTATGCACCTGTGGCAAACGCCCTAGGGAACAAGTCCCATTGAAATGAACATAGCTGAGATTCAATACATTTTTAAGGAGCAATTATCTTCCCTTAGGAATGCTGAGTTACACACATTTCATCATCAAAATTTTTTCCTGAGGAAGGATGCTCACAGGGCCCTGAAGGTGCTCTCCAGAATCAGCATAGAAATTGAAAAACAAAAAAACAAAAAAACTTCTCTATCTGCCAATGCAAGATTGTTGCCGTCTCTATATCATCTACAAAATGCATGCAGTAAGGCTGCATCTCGTGTGCTACTAGACGTTTTAGAAATGGTGGCCAAATAAATAAGGACAGGAGAATTTCTGGTAAATTCTACAAACATCTATGTCAGGGGTCGGCAACCTTTGGCACGTGGCTCGCCAGGGTAAGCACCCTGGCAGGCCGGGCCGGTTTGTTTACCTGCCGCGTCCACAGGTTCGGCCGATCACGGCTCCCACTGGCCGTGGTTCGCCGCTCCAGGCCAATGAGGGCGGCGGGAAGCGGCGCAGGCCGAGGGATGTTTGCTTACCCTGGTGAACCATGTGCCAAAGGTTGCCGACCCCTGATCTATGTGCAGGTTTTTCTTATGTCATTCCAAGGCTGCTGTTTCTTCCCCTGTGCCGCCAACACACTCCTATACTGCCTGCTGTGAAATAAGTTCCTCTTTCTGTTCTTTATTAACTGATGCCATTTTCCCCAATTATATACCTCCCCAAAAGTTAGACCTAAATTCTGCAGCAGACTGGAAATTCTGTGGTAGCTTTATTTAAATATCAAACTGAACAATGTAATCACAGTACAGTAACCCTTCTGTTTCTTATATTCTGTTTTATTCATGTTCATAGAATCACAGAACTGGAAGGGACCTCGAGAGGTGATCTAGTCCAGTTCCCTGCACTCAAGGCAGGACTAAGTATTATGTTATACTGCCCCCTCATTCCGTTTTGGAAATGCCAAATGTTTTGCACTGATAAGCTCTAACTACATCATAGAAGATGTTGGGTTGAAGCTGGAGGTTCTTGATAGTTGAGGCTTTGAACTCCTGGAGGGAGTGGAAGAAAGTTTCATAAACACATTAGCTGGCTGTTTCTGCTAAAATGATCAGCAGTGAAATGGATAATGTTTACATTTAAAATGTCATCTTTAAGTTTCAGACTTAACCATCTGAAATGAATGGGACATTTTACACCTCTGCCTTTCTTCACATTCAGGAGGACAACACTACATCAGTTGACAGTTCACTTTTGTAAGGTTTTCTTTGCAACCATGTATTTGTACAGATTAAGAAAAGGGCAAGGTTAGGTCAGGGTTTGTTAACATGTGGTTGCTAACCACAAACTTTTCCCTAGTGTAGACATGGGTTAATATATTTAAGCTAGTCAAATTCAACCCTAGAGATGAGGCCCAGGTCAAGCTCAATCAGTTAAATCAAAATAAAAGGTCGTGGCTAGCTTTTCCTAATCTAGAGAAACCTCCAAAGATCAAATATCTGATCTCTTCTAGCCTGTAAGTGCAGAAAAAAATTGCTCCTCTCATTAGGCACTATGGATGGTGCTGCCAATGCTACAGAAAAGTCTGAAAGATCTGACAGTGCAGGCACTGAAAGTATTAATTGTGACGATGGAAACTAGGAATGTGGATAGTATGACTAGGGATTTTTGGCTGCTGTTAAAACAACAGTTGTTCAGTTGCTGGAGCAACGTATGAAGTCACTAAAAATAAGTTCCAAGAAGTACACTGTATATGGCAAATGGCAACAGCACACAGAGACAAGCTGGATCTGAAAACATTACTGCTGAAAACATGCTATTACATGAAAATAAAGAGAAAACCCCAGCAAAACTGGACTGTGACTCAGTATTTCTATGAGATTTGGCTCATGATATATTTCCACTGACTTTAATGCAATGCAAATATTAAAATCGTTTTTACACTTTAAGATAGTAAATTAGTAAGGAACAGCATAGTCTAGTGGATACAGCATGAGCCTGAGAATCAGGAACTCTGGCTTCTATTCCTGGCTCTGCCAACAATTTGCTGTGTAATCTTGAACAAGTAACTTCACCTCTCGATTCTTCAGTTTCCTCTCCCTACCCTTTGTTCGTCTTATCTGTTTAGACGGTAAGCTCTTTAGGACAAGGACCATCTCTTACTATGTGTTTGTACAGTTCCTAGAAGATTGGGGCCCTAATCTCAGTTGGGGCCTCTATGTACTACCATAATACAAACAACAATGAAAAATGCTCCTCCAAGAAATCCTCCTTTATAAAGTAATTGTGCAGATACTTCCTTGAAGTCATACCCTGAATGCAGAAACCCCCGCCACTAACGTAACAGTATGTCTAAGATAAATTATTACCAGAAGAGTCAGGAAATTAATACGGAATCTTTTTTCAGAGTAGCAGCCGTGTTAGTCTGTATCCGCAAAAAGAACAGGAGTACTTGTGGCACCTTAGAGACTAACAAATTTATTTGAGCATAAGCTTTCGTGGGCTACAGCCCACTTCATCGGATGCATAGACTGGAACATACAGCAAGAAGATTTTTATACATACAGAGAACATGAAAAGGTGGAAGTAGCCATTCCAACTGTAAGAGGCCAATCAATTGAGATGAATCGTTAACTCATCCCCCTGATTATTATTGTCATTATTTAACATTTATCGTGTCTTAGCACCTAGAGGCTAACCAGGCTGGGGTTCCAGTGTGCTGGGTGAAGTAAAATCACATAGAACATGACAGGCTCTGCCCCAAAGAACTTACAGTCTAAAAGACAAGAGAGAACAGGTAGATGAGACACACAAGTGGGGTGGGACAGGAGGGAGAAGGTACCAAAAATAATAATATGTGCGCAACTGTGATGATCTGCAGCACAAGCCTTACCACAAAATCAGTCATGTACAAAAAAAGACCTCTTTGGTCATTTCTTCCATAGGTTCTCAACTAGGGGATCAAGAACCCCAGAGAGGGGTGGGTTGCAATCAGGTCCAGGAGGTCCTGGCCACCCTCCCTTTCTTCAATGCTAGATGGGGGGTGAGGTCCTGAAACTCCCAGGCTGTGGGGGATGTGGACATTTTTCTGTTGCAACAAGGGGAGATTATCTGGAAGTGGTGGAGAACACTGACGTACACCAGGCCTGTCACAGGTTGAGTAAGCCCTTTAAAGAGAGTTCAGGCTCAGTTCCACTGAGCCTGGTTTTCCTCCTAAATCATGGGATTGGAGGACAGGGATCATGTGAAGAAGAGCAGGTGACTGAGTGCTCGCCAGGCCTTATTGGATATATATATATATATATATATATATATATATATATATATATATATATGAGACAGAACACCCTCAGTAAATGAGGGAGCTGGCAGGAGCAACATGTTTGGTGGTAACAAATAATTGGCAATGGTTCCCTGCAGAGGGGGAATCAAGGAATGAATCTGGAAGGGCTCAGTGGAGGGCTCCTAAGATGAGTCCAGGAAGGAGGTCTGGCTGAAGTAGGAAGTGGCCCTGGAAACGAGGAAGCAGGGTGGACTGGACTTGGTAGCAAGTAGCTGCTTCAGTTTATTGGGTCTCTGAGCCTGGAGCAGAGAGAGGACTGGGTGGTGGTGACAGGAACAAAGCTGGTGGAGGCAGGAGGGCTACTCAGCCCAGAAGTAGAGACACTGGTCAGCCCCCGATGTAAGGGGAGAAGGAGCTCCTGGCAACTGAAGGGAGCCATGTGATGATAATGCATACCCTAGGCAGAGGGCTATGACCCATGATGGCAAAGGGCTTGTTTACTATTTAGTTGTCCTTCCATTTGCCCTGAAGTGGAGGACTTTTCCTTTGGCTGAAGGCCCAAAGTCCCTAAGTCACCAAATGATCCTACCAACTAGAGGGAGACTGTGAAGTGAAACTGAGACACGGGGCACCTGATGAGGATCCAGGCAAGATGATGCTGCAACAATGCCCCACTGCCCAGCAGGGCCGGCTCCAGGCACCAGCTCAGCAAGCAGGTACTTGGGGCGGCCAAGGGAGAGGGGCGGCACATCCGGCTCTTCGGCGGCAATTCGGCGGCGGGTCCCTCACTCCTTCTCGGAGCAAAGGACCTGCCGCCGAATTGCCGCCGAAAAATGAAGCGGCGGTGGTAGAGCTGCCGCAGATCGCTGCTTTTGGGGGGGGGGGGGGGGGCGCTGCTTAGGGCGGCAAAAACCCTGGACCCGGCCCTGCTGCCCAGTGCAAGATGGTTCCCAACAGTTGGCCGTCCAGTATTTTGTTCAATCCAGTTTTAAGTATCTCAAGTGATGTGTCTTCCACCACTTCCCTTTGGAGACTATTACACAGTCTAATCTACTTTGGCTTTTGTAGGATCTCAGCAGCACGGAACCATGTGGTGCAACACTAGGAAAATATTTATTTCAGCCTTTACAGATAAAGAATGGGAATGAAAATGGCCAAGTGTAGAACTTCACGCTGCCATGCAACAAAAGTTCCATTGCCAGAACCGGTCCCATTCATAAGAGCAGGAAGGGTTGGCAGCGTTGGAAAGGAAGTATGCTTGGTCCTTGGGGAAGGGAGTTCCTTGCAACATGATCCTTTTGGCCAGCCAATTCAGGAGTGGCCGTGACTAGCTCCAGTGGAAATACTTTCTCATCCTTACTTAGCGACGCTAGCTCTAGGAGTTGTAAAACAAAGCAAAAAAATACAGAGTGGGAGACACAGAGACACTCTGGGCTGTGTGGGATGAAGGAGAGGGAAGTAAACCAAACACCATGTGCTTAGTCCATGATGCCAACAGGACAGGATGTCTCACGGCAATCACTGAAACTTCACAATAGAAACCTCAGAATTATGAGCATGGGTCTTTATAGGGGCCTTTGGATGTACCTAAATAAAGGACAGGAGCTGATTTCCTCTATGAGAATGAGAAGAAGCTGACATCACATACCCTGGTTATCACAGGTACAGAGGATTACTACAGGAACTGGTTTAATAATAACAGAAGACCGGGAGTCCAGAGCAGTCTTATACAATGGTTGATTCAGTGGAACCAAGTTATCTTCCTTCCTCAATGGAGTGAATAAAGTTCATCCACTAGGGGAGGGGATTAAATCCCCAGTGAAGGTTGGTGGTTTTGTTTGTGAAACATGGAGTAGCCAAAATAGTAATTTTCCCCCCTCCTGAGATTTTAAAAGGAACTCTCTTTACAGCGATAAGACAGAACTGCTTTTCGATAAACTGGAAGTCTATCTCTGGCCTCAACCAAACACGGTTTCTTTCAACAGGAAGCTGTACGTTTAAATGCTGAAGTCTGTCCCGGCAAGATAGAGATGGTGACGGACAGAGGTACAGAGAATCACAAGCTATTAAAGAACATTTCTCAAGTCTCTATAGGCTAAGGTGGCAACCTCAATGGACAATAAAAACCTTCCAGGCAATGCCAAGCTGCTTCCCACTCCCTGAGGACTGCAAATCCGTACACAAACCGACAACACTAGAGGTAATCGTGATATGACTTCTGGAGAGGCTCCAAGATTTAATGGGTTCGCAGTTGACTTTTACAGAGCTGCAACACTGCCTGTTCACTTACTAACTAAGCATGTGTCAAAGCACCTAGATATCTGGGCAGCATCATGCACAGTCCTGTGTGAATATTAATTGTCACAGCATCTCTGGGCCTTTTGTACCGAGATGAAGGTATTATTACCCCATTTAGCAGATGCATAAATTGAGGCAGAAAGATTAGGTCACAAGCCCAAAGCAACAGATGAAGTCGGTGTCAGAGCTGGGATTAGATCAGTAACTTCTGTGCTCTTTCTACTAAATAACTGTCTCTTTGGATCACTTCACCCTCCACTTTCTGGACAAACTCAGCTGCTTAATAGTTCACAGCAACATTACACAATATTTAAAGACAGTAGTAGCAGTACTTATCATCAAGCAATGTTGTAACTATACATTCTGTGTGTGTCAAACATTAATACACAATATAAACAAATCTATGGATTCATGAGGATAAGATAGCAGCCAGACATATTAAACTTTGGCAGGGTATTTGGTTCACTCAATAAGAATTGTTGTCTTCTGAATTTAAAAATCAATACAAATTGGAAAGAATAAGTTTCATCGGCCAACTTTATTGAACATAAAGGGTTAATAGTGGAAAAACTCAAAACCATTACCATAAAAATTTTATCTGTCTGCTATCCATCAACTTTTTTTCCCCTTCTGAACAAGTATGTGCCATGTGTCAATTAACAACGTATGATCTTGAGATTTCAAAATTGCTCTGGCTTTTCAATTGCTCAACTAGTGACTGACTAGAAAGATTCACAGGTAAAGAGGATTTATTAGCAGAATGGCTGTTTACTTCTCAGACTTGGCCTGAGCATGTGTTTCCTTAGCAAAGCCCAGGATGGTGGAAAGTAAGGTTTAGAACAGTGATACTCAGACCTCTGTGGTTCAGGAGCCAAATTAGCGATCAACATTACCCAAAAGAGCCACAGTCGTGTGAATTCATTGTTTCATTTACTATATATATTATTCTTACAGCAAAATGACTGACCATGTATTCTACAATTAGTTAAGATAACACAGTAAAAGCATTCTGAATGGTTAATAACTTAGATTGGTTAATAATTAAATCACACTATGTTTTAATATCATGTGCTACAAAGAGCTGCAAGAGACACATTAAAAGAGCCACTTGCGACTCCCAAACCTCAGTCTGAGTATCACTGGTTTAGAAAATGGAGTTTTCTGTTAACTTCTTTATTCCATTTCCTTCTTTGGCAGAAACAGAACTTGTATTTGAAGCAATGCCTTTCAGCTAAGAACATCACTGCTTAAATCAGTGTGGCAGATACAAAGAAGGCACTGTATGCAGCACACCCAAACCCTGTAACAATCTGAACATTGAATGCTGGCACTATGACTTGCCAGGTGGAAGATCCACACTGCCTTATGACTTATCAATTACAGTCTGACAGATGCTGAGCCTTCAGCTAGTACTTGCATATATTCAAATATGGTAAGAACAATTACATTCACTTGGCTTTTAGCATCATAATAATCAAGCATGCTCCTTTAGCACCAAGAACTTTACTGCAAAATAAGTAGCAAGCTTTTAGAATTCCAGGATTCAAAGGGTTGTATGGCTTCAGTAACATGCTGTTCCATAAACTGTAGACATAATTACTATTAGTTAAAATGGCTGGACTTAAGTGCTACATCAAAGGTTCTAATCTCCCTCTGCAGTCTGCCTGTGGGTAATACCTATTAACATTATTAATGAAGAACAACAATAGTTACAATAACTTTATGCTTTTACATGATCTTCTATCTGAAGATATTAAAGGACTTTACAAATATTAAGCCTCAACACTCCTGCAACACAGGTATTATTTTTCCTTTACACAGATGAGAGAACTCAGGCATAGGGAGGTTGCTTGACCCAGATCACACAGGAAGCCAATAGCAAGCTGAGAACTGAACCCAGAAGTCCAGAGACCCCACTCTAATGGGAATTACGCATGTGCACTGGGAGGAGAAGAAACCTGAAGAGCTTACGGGCAAGTGTCTTCCTTTTAAAAAGCTGATGCACCATTACACCCTAAAGATGGAAAAGGTCAGTGTAATTCACAGGTCTGACTTGTAATGAGTAATTTAAAACATCTCCTCATGGTACTACCCATTGCAGTTATAATCCTTACCTGTAAGTTTCAACTTCAAGGCTGAGTCCCACTTTCACCTGCATTAGTTCATTGTAGTCCTTGAGATAATCCATGATTGACAAAGTCAGGAATTGCTTTTCTTCTTCTAGGGCGTCAATTATCCTCTAAACAGAAACACTTCCTATTAGTTTTGAAGAATTTGACTTTACACTTTCACATTTGTGCTTATAATAACTTCCCAGTTTTATGACAAACACCAAGATAAAAATCTTAAAAAGTATTAAAGCAACATTCACTAGCAGCTCAGATTTACAGAAAAAAATAAATAAACCTACTCTCAGACTTCACTGGCATATGGTTGAGATACGATTACTGGAATAGATTATTCATGCGAGGATGTGTGAGTTACATCTGACTAAATTGTTTTCAAATATTTAAACAAAATCCCATCTAGCTGTCCCCCCCACACACACACACAGGTCACCATCTATGCAGGCAAGCAAAAAGCACCCTATTATAAATTTGGTATGTGGCACATTAAAAGCCAGATTCAACACTGGAATGAACACACACGCCCCTTTCCATTTAAACACATTTGAAATGCTCAAATACAATGGGGAACGATGCAGCACGACAACCTGAATAGAATCTGACTTGGTTGCAACTGTCTGTTAACCTTTTAGGAGACCACAGATTTGTGCACCCAAGTCATGAGTTTGAGATTCCGATGTCTGGGGATGTGTGGACCTATGGGTGATGGTTCCAGGTACAGTTCTGGCCTCTGGGAATAGGCCAGTGATCACTCATCTTCATCTTGAGGAGTTTAACTGAGCAGCATTCTGAATGTTCACTGAGGGGGAGCATTGGTCTTGGGGCTGAGGGCAGCTAGACCACAGAGTCCCATCTTCCCATCGAGGGGTTCCAGACAGGGGGTCTGCACACTGAGAGTGTACATGAGAGGCCAGACCAAGAGATAGTGCCTGGACACTACCCAGACCTAGTGGGCTTGGAAGCATGTGTGATCCAAAGGCTTGGGTCCAATACAGCAGTCTAGTGACCTTCCACAAAGGGGGACTGTAGCAATTACAAAAGCATTATGTGCTGTCTGCTCCTGGTAGAATTAGACAAGAAAGCAGACAAAAATCTCAAATAGTCTCCCGTTTACCAATAGTTAAAAGACAAGGGAATAACTGCTGTGAAGTCTATCCCTGCCCCCACCCCGTGGGGTAGGGTGCATAAACTTGTTTGGCCAGGTTCAGGAGGCCCGGAACAGATAAGGGACTTTGAGGAGGATAAAAAAGTCAACCCTTGAGGAGGCTCTGTCCTCTGTCTGGGTAGATTTTTCAAATAACAGGCAATGTCCAGGATTTTTGCATAGCAGACATTGCAGCTCAGAAAGAACCCAGATTGGTCTGCTTCCCGATTGGCCCCTCCCCTCCATCCGCAGCTGATTGGTCCATTCCCCCACCGCAGGTAGTCACTCCAGCACCCCTAACTGTACTCCCCCTCCAGCTCAGCCCCAAACTGCAGCAGTGTCCTCTTTTTGAGAACCTGAAATATGGTAATCTGAAGGGGTGCACACTGTCCCCCCAGCTCTAGAAGCGGGGATGTCTGGATAAGCTGAGCCTACCTAAATTTTAGGTAAAACAGTAGAGTCTTTGTTGTGTTAATACCCCTTTCCTCTTTTGATGCTGCATTCCTTCTGTTTAAATTAAACAATACTTTGTTTTGAAAAGGCTGTTCAATCTCCCTGTATTCACACATTGGTCACAGCTCCGGAAGGGAAGAATTTCAGGGCTCGAATCCAGTCAAGCCTACTGCAGAATCATGGTTGATATGCAAGGGACTCTAGCCTCATGCTAGGGAGAATTGCAAGATTCCACCCCAGAGAGGGGAGGACTAGAGGCCTAAAGCCACAGAGAGGATCCCCTGAGACCTACTCACAGAGGGGGTCAGAGGAACAGCTAAGCTAACCATGAACTGTAACAAAAGCAAATAGCCAAGAACATCATTACATGGTCTGGAGAAAAACAGATCTGTCACTAGAATCCCTTGATGGAATTACGTCCTTCCCTATCTGCATGGCCACCGGAGACTGCAGAGCATGTGACAGCTGGAACATCTGCATGTTAAACTGAGGGCTAGTCTACATTAGAAGTGCTGCAGCTGCACTGTTGTAGCATGTCTGGTGAAGACGCTCTATGCTGACAGGAGAGAGCTCTCCCATTGGCATAACAAATCCACCTCCACGTCCACACCGGCGCTTAGGTCAGTGCAACTTACGTCGCTAAGGGATGTGGATTATTCACACCCTTGAGCTACATAAGTTATACTGAAGTAAGCTCTAGTGTAGACCAAGCCTTAAGGAAGGATAGTTATTACATTAGTCCCCAAAAATAATCCTTAAATTGCCTTATGTTTTTTTGGCCTTTATACATGCTGAGCTAACTTGGTTCACACTAATAATCTCAAAGGTCTTTCCTGGTATCTCTGGTAAAGAAGCAGAATCTACGTCTTGGAAGGTGACCTGTGTTCTTGCACTATGCTCGCTCCTTTCAGAGGTCTGAGCAAAGGGATTAACTTGGAAAGGTTCACCGCTCAGTTATATAAAGAGAAGAGGAAAAGTCACTGGAGTCCACTCAAGCACTGAAGGGGACTAATTCTCACACCCCTTAAGGTGGTTCCTTCTAGTCAGGGATGAGACACGTCAGCAGGGCAGTGCGAGAAAGACTGCACTCGTGCTGCCCAAACTGTACTTGTTCTGCAAATAAAGAAAGGACTTCAGTCTCCAGCACTCTTGGTCTGGCATCTTTTACAAACTCCACGGCCACTTAGCAGCTTAATGGGAGAAAAAGAAAAAGAGGACACCCAGCACTTGGCTGGCTGGAAATCAGTACAGGAATTCAGTGTGAGAGATTTGTGTTAAATGTTAATTCAACAAGAGGCTGTTTTCCTCTCTTTTGGAGCTCACAGTACCATGGAACAGATACAGGAGCCAATCCTAAGCCTATTGAAGTTGGTGGCAAATGTCCAGTTGGCTTCAGTGGAGCAGGATGAAAGCCAGGGTCTTTTTTGCATTCTAAAAATATAGGGCCGTCTCCTGCTATCGCACTGTATGTGAATCTGCCATTGAAGTCAATTGGAGTTTCTGCATAAATATTGTCACAGCATGTTATTAGGGCCATAGAAACCCGAGACAGGAGAGTCCTACTGAGCCATCCATTGGTCCACCAGGCCCAGTGTAGGATGTGTTCTAGTGCTTGGCCAGTCCAGACTATACTGCAAATACATTTTACTACCTATCAACACTGAAAGCTTTACTGAGGATAGGGAGCGCTGGAGGAGACAAGAATGGCCATACAGAAAGAGTGGATAATATATGGAAAATATTAATAAATCCCCTTCTTGCAACAGCTGTAAAGGAAATTCCTACCATAAACACTCATATTTAAAAAAAACATATCTGCGAGTGACATCACTTTTAAATAAACAAACAGCTTATAACTGGGTTTTAGACATGACTCCAAAAGCCTAACTAAATATCTTCTCTCCTATAAAAGAAATTATGTCCGAAAAAACTGAGTAAGAGTAGAAGGCCTAAAATACTTGCTTTCCCCCATTTTATATTTTTTCATTACAGATATGAACGAGAGATCACCTTTTCCCCACCTCCTGCCTGAAAAACCAGGTTGAGTTTGAATAGTTGGTCACTAGAAAAATCTTCTTTCATTGTAAACTGGGCAGTTTTAACATGATACAGATGGTGGAGTATAGATTCCCACATTGGCACTGAAAGGGTTAAGGAGACCTGGTGGCAACTACAGGGCGTGGCAGCCCCATTAAAGATGGAGCACAGCTGGGAAGAAGCCCAGATAAGCTAGTGCGGAGAGAGCAGAAGAACTCTACACAGTCCCCCTCGCAGCAGTTCAGTGGCGGATAGAAAGCAGAAAAACACCTGCTGAGCCAGGGAAGGACTCCAAGGGAGTAGAGGGGAAAAGCCCGAGGAAAGAGTTAGCCCTGGGTTCCTCCTCCTAAGCAGAGAACTCTAGCAACTGGCCAGGAGATGCCAGTGGGGTGGACACTCGTGGTGGTCCTTGATAAATGGCAGGATCTGGACCTCTGGGGAGAAAGCCCTAGGAGGTGTTGAACTGAGAAGCAGAGCATAGGGGAAAGCTAAGAAGGATTAAAGTTCCATTGTGAGGAGGACAAAATGGTTTGTTTACATTTTCATTTGAGATTTGTTAGGGGACATGGGGGGGGGAAGCCCTGCAAGCCCCTCCCCTGCCCCTGCCCTGAACGTTGAGAAGTGGTGCAGCCTGGGAAGACAGGCTGTGAAGGCTGATAAGAATACAGGTATACAGTGGGACCAGGAAGGGGCTGTGGCAAATGCCTGCTGAGGGAGGAAAAAGCCCAGAGAGTTAGCCGGGAGCAGGTCTGAATAGACAATGCTTGCCTGCTCACTACTGTGTCCCTGAGCTGGAACCCAGAGGAGAGGAAGGGCCTGGGTTCCCCTACCAGCCATCGGGCAAGGTGGCATGAAGCCCCTGATATAAGGAGATAAGGACTCTTTAAAGTCCTGAGACGACAGAGTTTAAGGACCATGGGGTCCAAAGCTGGGGGCTGAAGACCTGACGTAAGGACACTGGACTTGTATTTGTTGGAGCCCCTGGCACCCAGCAGAGCAGGGTTGGGGGAAGTAAATGACCTCGATGGAGGACCAAGCCATGAGAAGAGGCAGACCACTGCAGGGCTAGAACTGCTTCGGCAGGAAAGGAAAGCCTGCTACACCATGCCCAGCCATAAGGTGGCATGCCAGCGGTAAGTCCACCCTCCCACAGTATCAGTGAGCGGCAATAAACATGGACCCTCATGAGGCTACTTTTACAGATGTTTCAATATAATCTAGGTGTATGTGCAAATAGGTCAGCTAATGTGCTTTTATTTTGGGGGCTAAAGCAGTTTGGGCTGCTTACCATAACTCATTTTAAGGTAACAGGAAGATATTGTGTTTAAAACACCTCAAACGAGCCTGATTTTAATTTAGAAAATAACATTTCATCCTGAGCACAACAGCACAGCTAGGAGCCACATGGTAATTTTGATGTTTCTATTAACTGGCATTTTTAACCTGTTTCTCCTCGGTACTGCCAATCCTGTAAGATTTTTAAAGTTGATTCACTCTCCAGAATACCTGCAGTCACCTTTCCCCACTAATCCTCAGCGAAATGTAAACATATATGGAGTAGCTTTGCCAACCCTCCAGGATTGTCGTGGAGTCTCCAGGAATTAAAGATTAATCTTTAATTAAAGACTGTCATTTGATGAAACCTCCAGGAATACGTCCAACCACAATTGGCAGCCCTAACATGGAGATGACACTGGTACAAAAATCTCTTCTCTGGTTGAGTTAGGGAAAAGAAATAGCCATTCTTGTAACTGCAGGAGAAAACATTTTTGGTACTGAGCTGTAAATCATAAGCGGGGAGGAGGGAAGGATGACTCTTGAAATATGGTGCTGCTTTAGTAAAACAATTTGACCCATTATTGTTAAGGATCAATGAGTTTTTCCATTATGAATTTCTAATGTCAGCCGTTTATAACACGGCTCTAAAGATAATGTATCTTTAGGAATGAAGGAAGTTTTACTTTTTGCTGGAGGAAATATAAGCTTATATAATTTTTACTCCTATCAAAATAAAAACAAAACCTAAGCCACAGAAAACTCCTGATAAAATCATTGTTTATTCTCTACACTTTCACCTCGTTTTAGTTGCAGGACTATTATTAAAATCAATCGGCGATTCACAGATAAAATCTCCATCCACTGCTTTGAAAAATATTTAAATGCATGTTTAAAAGGAGAATAACTTGACCCCTTCAAAGACCAGAATATTTCAAGTTAAGTGTAAAAGCTCTGCTGGTCGCTGTGTTTTGTTTTGAATTGATCAGTCTCCGTACATAGCAACTTGCAAACAAGGTAGCAATTTAAAATCCAGACACAGAGCAACCACTCTCTAGTCCCCTCACAATGTGCAATATCTCCATAATCTCACATGCCAGACATGCCCTTACACACAATGTGTTCATTAACACGAGGGCTGCAGACAGACAAAGATCTAGCAGCGCGTTAATAAAAGGTCTGATGAAGAACAAAAGAAATGCTGCCCTGAGGAAATGGAGAGCATCTGATCTGGATAGTGGATTGATGGACTGGATGATCTAATATGTCTTCTCCATCCCTAACCTTTGATATTTTGCTTTCCCAGCATATGCTGATCTATCCATGCACATGGGGTGCTTTATAACTGGCATACTGCAGAACAGTGGCCGTCAGAACTCTTGGCCAGAAGTACTGTGGCAATTTTCTATTGTAAAACACGTCCACACAGAGCAGACACCTCCATTTAAGGCCTCATTCCATCCTCACCCCCCCCAAAACCCCACCCCAGTAATCAGTCTCTCTGCCATTGAAAAATGGAGGGCTCAGTTAACCACGCTGGGGTCTGAATCCTCCAGGCTCAAGACCACGAGTAGAGAACTGCTCTAGCAAGAGGGGAGTGCAGGACATCACTGACTCTAGTGGGCAGGAAAACGGTAGGACTCACTTCACTTGTCCCAAGGGCGAACTCCCATCACCAGATACTTGGTGTCAGTGCTTTAAAGTGCACTCTGTCGCAGACCCACCAATTAAAACTTCTACAACTCAACCCTTTGATTACTGAGGGGTGCACATTTCAGCTCTGCCTAGGGAAAAGCACCTCTGCTTGGCTGCTTTCCACTCAGGCAGTAGGCAGCACTCTCTCCCCTCCTAACAGGATTCCCACCATCCTCACAGGAGGAGAGGGTGGAGAAGTGCCGCTCTGATCCCCCATCCCTCCCTGGTACTCCAGGCTTTGAAGTGGGGGAAGGGCTACTCCTGCAGTTGCCCCCCTGCTCCGACCAGGCCAAGGGGGGTGATGAACCCCAGGAGCTGCAGGAAGAGCAAGGGGGGGCTGGAAGGGGCAGAATGGATGGTGGAAGTTATGGGGGGGCAGACATGACAGACACCCCCACACACACATTCATGTTTTTAGACCATTTTAAGCACCGCCTGTCGTGTGCCTGTCCCCAGAACACCACGTCCCATGATGCTGCAGCTGAGTTCACCCATTCCCAGGGCTTGCTTCGTGCCCCAGTGTGCCTATGGTGAGTTGGCAGTGGAGCTCAGGTTAGCCGGCTGGGTTTGATCTCACCCAACACCAACTCTGCAGCTGGGTGTGCCTGTTCAGGTCAAAGTGGGAGCGGTACACCCCTCACAAAGAGGATGTGCTAAGAGTCATCATCTCCCTGTTCACGCTCACCACTTCCCCAGCCAGAGGTCCCAACACTGCCCAAGGTTTTGAAAGGGAATCCTTGAGTTTGTGTCCTCCTGCCAGAAGTGGCCACTCCGAGGCCTGCCCTTTAATGCAGCAAGCTCCTCTCCTTGCTGGCTGCCTCCTCGCCCAGCCGCAGCCCCAGAAGAGGTGGTGCTGGGGAAAGGCAGAGCATGACCAGGTGCCCAATAGGAGAGAGCCAAGGAGTTGGGTGCAAGCAGCTGGTGCATGGGAAATGGGGTGGGAGACACGGGTAGTGCAAGCTAAGGCAGAGGGCGGGAAGGGTGTCAGGAGCAGATGCACAGGTGAGGGATCAGAGGTAGGGAAGGATGTATGGGCAGTGGCAGGGAAGGGAGGCAGTTGGAGGAGCAGGGTTATGGTATGGGCCAGCATGGAGACAGCGGGGGTGGGCTGGGTGCTGTGGGCAGGAAAGGAAAGGGGGGCAGACCGAAGGAGCTGACAGAGTCAAGAAAGAAGACTGGGGGAAGAGGATCCTAGGGAGGGGTGCAAAAAGAGGATGAAGGGGTAGGACAGATGCACGGGAGAGGAGACACCCCCCCAAAGGGAATCCAAGGGAAAGCAGGGCCGGATTTCCAATTAGGCACATGCCTAGGGGCACCTTACCTCTCTAAAACTGTGTGCAACATAAAAGTCAACTGTGGGCGGGGGGAGGCGGTTTTGCTGAAGATGCTGTGCCTAGGGGCGCGTAAAGTGTAAATCTGGCCATGGGCAAAAGGGACAAAAATTGGGACCCAGTGAGGGGAGGAGCTCAGGGTATTTGGGGCAGGGGCAGAGATTCTAGGAGATGGGAGATAGTGGGGAAGAGAGGGGGCAAGGGGAGGCTGGGAAAGATGCTCTAGGAAAGGCAGGCTAGTTGGGGGGCGGGGGGGAGAAGGGGAAAGAGACTCTGGGAAAGGGGGGACAGTGGGGGCGGCCCCAACCTTCAGCAGGGCTCGTTGAAGCCACCGTTTGGGTTTGCAGAGCGCCTGCCCCAGAGCCCTGCTCAGCCGCGTCCCCTCCCGCTCCCCGCGGCTCGAGGGAGCTGCCCTGGGTGGGAAACGTGAGGCCGGGGAGAGCCTGCGGCTGTCCGCTCTTGCCTCCCCCGCGGGCGTGGGCGGTGCCAGCCGGGCGCCCGCTCCCCCTTCCTCCCCCACGCCGCGCGTGGGCCGCCGTCACGCACCTGGTACTCGCCCGCCTCGGCGCCGTGCAGCTCCTGCAGCGCCCGCAGCTCCTCCTCCAGCCGCGGGCCCAGGCCGCCCAGCTGCCGGCCCTGGCGCCGCAGCTCGTCCAGCTGCCGGCGGCCCCGCGCGCCCTCGGCCCGCAGCTGCTCCAGGCTCTCGCGGCCCCGCCGCGCGTCCCGCTCCTGCAGCGCGCGGAGCTGGCTCTGGTAGCGGAGCCGGCTCTCCCGGCAGGCCTGGCCCAGCACCAGCTCGTAGGTCTCCTCCAGCGGCTCCAGGCTCAGCGCGGCCGGCGGCGGCGGCGGCAGCGCGGCCAGGTCCCGCCGCAGCGCCCGCACCTCGCCCGCCTCCCGCTCCAGCAGCTGCCCGCGCTCGGCCCGCAGCCCCTGCAGCAGCTCCTCCAGGGCGGCGCACTCGCCCCACAGCCGCGCCAGCCGTTGCCGCTGCCCGGCCAGCTCGGGGGCCAGGCGGCGCCGCAGCTGCCGCACCTCGGCGCCCAGGCGCTGCAGCTGCCCCAGCTCCTGCCGCAGCCCGGCCCGCTCCAGCTCCGCTTCCCGCTTGGCCCGGCTCAGCTCGGCCACGCTCCTCCGCAGCTCGGCCAGCTCCTGCTGGGGGCCCCGCGGCCCGACCGGCTCCTGCTGCTGCAGCGCGGCCAGCTCCTGGGCCAGCAGCCGGTTCTCCTGCTCCAGCTCCCGCACCCGGGACACGTAGAGCCGCAGCCGGGAGTTGAGCTCCCGCAGCTGGGTCTTCTCGTCCCACTCCTCCTCCCGGGAGCGCAGCATCGTGCCGGGCGTCGGGGCTGCGCTCGCCCCTGCCGCGGTGTCACTGGGCTGCGGGCTCCGGGCGGCAGCGCCTAGCCCCGGCTGTTCCCGCTTCCCAGGACGGGGCCGGACTCCTGGCTGGACAGCGGCGGCTCACACACTGGGCTGGGGCTGGCGTGGGCTCCGGGGCTGGGGAGCCAATCGCCGGCTCCTCTGAGCGGCAGCAGAACAACGCCCCCTGCCGGAGCCGCCCACCCCGGCGCAGTCCAGCTTTGGAGAGAGGCGGTTCTTCCCCCCCCCCTCCCCAGTTCCCAATGTTGGTTTGTTTTTAAAGCTGGGCAAAGTGGAGTTAAGAGCTGAGCAGGCAAAACCCTGCTCCCTTGGGGAAGGGTCCCAACATACAATGGGGCAGCTGAGAAATTAGTACCTTGGAATCCAAGTGTAAGGCTCTGGGTAGGACACCAAGCCCTCCCCATCCCTGGCTGTTGTGAAAAACTCCTGCTGCTGCTTCTCCATAGGCCCTAATTCGGTCCTTCCATGGGATAGTGGGTTAGTTCGGGATCCGCTACTGGTCCTGCATCCGGACTACGTTTCATTTATTTCAATAATAAAAATAAAGAATAACGGGCTCTTAACATGATTTTTGTAAGTTTAGAAAGTGTGGAAATACAGAGCTAAGGGAACCCAAATGACTGTCCCTGTATCCTTAATTAACCTCGAACCTTTGTTTCTACTGGGCCTGGTTCTCCTCTACCTGCTGCAGCACTTTGCACAGGTGTATGGGCTTGGTCCAGTGTTTGCTGAAATCAGTAGGAGTCCTTTCATTGACATCAACATACATTGGATCGGGCTCCAAATTGATCACTCAAAGTGCATGCGGTGGAGACTCAGACCCATTATTTTTCTACATGAGCTTGAAAAAAAGCTGAAGAGTGACCTACCTGAACCGTTTTATTCTTCTGTACATGCAGTGTGTGCATGATTGTACGCACATTTACATCAAAGTCCATCGGACCTTGCATTGCTACAGCAAACTACTCAGGCATCTTTAGGACCATGTGACAGAGATACAATTTCCTGCCATATCCTTGCAAGACCTTACTGAATTAAGTTTAAGTATCACTGGGGTCCATTGTATTAAATCAATGATTTATGTATTACTATGGGCCAGGATTGTATGTAACTTCTGGAATGGGCAGAGGTGACAGATGTGAGACCTGGGGGTTCAAAGGACTATCTTGAACTATGTGCCAGACACGAACGGACTTTTGGACCAAAAATTGTTAAATGGTTTTCCTGAGGAATATCTAGGGTGGTGTATGCAAATAAAAAACCCAGCCTTTTGAAACACCCATTACATGAGACCAAGATCAAAGGCCCAAGATGTGTAACTGGTGGTTCTGGTTCTGAATCTGAGACAATATTAATATTGGGAATACCCAGTTGTGGGTTTTGGAGTACTGATACCTACCAGAGCCTGAGGTTAGAATTGAGGTTACCTCTGGTAAGCCTTTTAGCATGCATGTAAGTTTTTATTATTTTTAATTTTTTCTTTTGGATGCTTTCACCTTAAAAATAAATGTGCTTGGTTATGGAGAGCTGTGTAGTAACTTATAACTGCAGGCAGTTATGCTGTTCAGAACCTCTGGAGAGAAAGCATAGCCCAGACACTGACCCGTTTGGGAAGTCTGGCTTGCTGAGAATATCGCAGTGTGGGCAGGAAACTCTGCAACCTGGAAAAACCCTGGTCAGGAGGTAGGGAGATGTGATGACTGAGGCGCTGTGAGCCTAGAGTAGGTGCCCTTGCACAGAGGGGGAATACAGGTGCAGTTGCCCTGAACTATGACAGACCTTTCACAGCCACCAGAAAAAGACAAGCTAACACAAGAACTGACTGCATTTGGACAATCCCTCAGAAGCATGGGGACAGGAAGCACATAGCCAGGGTCAGATTAGGGTTTTGTGGGGCCCCTGGACCAGAGCAAGTGGGGGCCCCTCCCCACCCCTTCCGCTTGCAGTCCCCCTCCCGACTCCTGCCAGGGAAATGGGGTTGAGGTGCAGGGCCTTGCCCTGCTCTGCCCACTCGGCACTCCTGCCAGGAAGTGGGTCAGGGTGCAGGGGTTTGCCCCGCTCTGGCTGCTGGGAAGCGGGGTTGGGGCACGGGGGCTTGCCTTGCTCTTCCCACCCAGCGCTTCAGCTGGAGAGCAGGGTCAGTGCACAAGGGTTCCCCAATAGGCCGAGGCCCCTAGGCACGGCCCCGTTAGCCCAGTGGCTAATTTGCCACTGCACACAGCCCTATACCCTCTTCCAGGATGGCAGAAATACTTCTCTGTTGCCCACCCCGGCAGCCTGAAGAGCTGAGTCAGCAACACATCTTCACATCTCCCGACAACAAGCAGGGTCAAATCTTGCCCACTTACTTAGTCCTCACTCAGTCCTTAGTTCTTGCTCAATACATTTTTGCCTGAGTAAACACTAAATAAAATCAGAGAGTAAGGATGTCAGGATTTGGCCCTGACCAAAATAGATCAACAAATTCAGGCTTTGCAGATTTGCTTTGTCAGAAGTAAAAATGAAGTTGGAATGTACTAATCATAGAAATGTAGAGCTGGCAAGGACCTCGAGAAATCATCAAGTCCAGCCCTCTGTCCTGTGAAAAGACCAAGTAAACCTAGCTACTTAATGGTGGCTGCTTCTTCATGGCCTTTTGTCTATAAATCTAGTATCAGTTTAATATCTGCTACACCTCTACCAGGGAAACCATCCTTCATTTACAAGGGGATGGATTTCAGTGGTCTAATAGGATTTTCCCATCTCTTATTTCTATTATGCCAATTACCTGAGACATTTAATACAAAACATAGCAAATATACTGCAGGGAGCAATCCTGCACTGGCCAGGAAGAGGGGGCCAAGAGAGATGAGCTTTCTGGATTTTATATTAATGATGATGTGAGATGCAATGCCAGTAGTTTCTTGGCATCTTTTCTTATTGACAGTATTTGAAATGATTTACTGTATCCATATTAACACTTTATTATTATTAATATTATTATACTGCGGGAAATTAGGTACCTACAGAAGCTCCCTGTCTCTCTTGACCCCACACCACAGAACTATTTGTTCCCTGGCTCTGAATGTTAAGTAACTTTCCATACCTAGTGAATGTATTTTTCCACCTCTCCTCTTTTGATTTTTCTATACTTTGTATGGTCATTTGCTAAATAGACTATGACATGCTCCTTCGAAGCTGCAAGACTTTTCTGGTGACTTCTCCCCTTCTAGGAATTTTGCAAATAAATCACTGTCTATAACTAGATAGCTGTAGTGAAATAATTTAAGCACAGAAAAAGTAGTCTCACCGCCCTCTAGCAGTGATTGGACACAACCATAAATAGCAAATGAAGGCTACCCATATCTTTAAGATGTTCCAATTATTCGTCTTCCTTTTTGGGGTAAAGTTTTTATGGAATAAGAATAAACCCTGTGCTAGAGATTCTTTGGTGCAGCCAGATCTTTGTGCTAGTCCCTGACATTTAACATGGCTGCAGAGGCACATGCAGAGTCTGCCGACAAAGAAGGTGAAGAGGTTGATCTTAAGTACAAGTGAGACAAGCAACTGCCTGGAGTCTCACTCTAGTCTAGCCAAAGCAGTGTGACCCACTTAGAAATCCATGGCTCAGACTGCTCCTGGGGCCCAATCCTGCCTCCATTGAAGTCAGTTGTAAAATTAAATGAAATCAATGACAGCAGGTCCAGCAGCAATATAGAAGTGGAGGAGTAACTCACAACCCCATCCATGGTCTGCCACTTCAGTAAGAAGCAACTCATGTATGTCCCTGCCAGCCTCTTCCGCAATAGGCAAGGGCAAGGCCATGTGCTTTTTGAGTCTCAATTGTGGGTCCCACAAACGGTAACCTCACACTTCCCTGCTAAACCTTAGTTCTGTTTCAGCACAGATCATTCTTATTATCTTATCTGTTACGTTTAAATGAAATGGATACACCTGTAATACTGGGGAAATGTTTGGATTCGGGCAGTTTTAACATAACTAGACAGAAAAAGCACTGCTTACTGAAATAATGTAGATGTTGGACTTCACTTTTATTGTCTTTCTGCAATTCCTTCTCAAAGGCCCCAATCCTAAAATGAGATCTATACAGTCACACCCCAAGCCAGACAATGGGGTCTCATGTGGACACAAGGGTCCACTTGCCTAGCACAGTTTGCAGGACTGGCACCTTCATTTTTGGCTCTTCACCCTGGGGCTGTGGTGGCCCTATCCCATTTGCATACCAACTAACACAAAGCACATCTCAATGACAATTATTATCAGCTGCTTAATCAAGCCCTCCCTGTCCAGTCAGCGCTGCTGAGCGCCAGCTGATTGTACGAAATGATCAACTTCTCATTTTTCTTCATCTTGGGGAAACGCAACAGAGACAGACGAATGGTGCATTTCTTTCTGATTTTTAACATCTTTTTTTTTTTTTAATGAGAGATTTGTAAATTCTATCTTTTAAAAAAATCCTCTGCCCCCAGCCTCTCAAGCAGGAATATACCCTAGGGATGAAATCCTGGGCCCATTGCAATCAGGGGGAGTTTTGAGCCAGGTTTTCACCCTGTGTCTTCCATCCTGCAAGTACCATTCGCCCTCTGGTGTAGGTTTATTTAGTGAGCGAGGGCACGAAAACAAAGGCAGGAGAACAGACTGGAGGGCTGTGAAGCGCAGAGGCACTAGCTCTCCCATAGCAAACCCTCTCCTCCTTTCACTGTATAAAACTAACGCTAGGGAAACAGCAAAATCCTGGCAGGATGTTTCCGCCCGGGGTCGAACCGGGGACCTTTCGCGTGTGAGGCGAACGTGATAACCACTACACTACGGAAACCCTCTCGCCAGCTGCCCCCGGCCGGCCCCTTTGTAGTGAGACGAAGCCGGACCACGGCCGCTGGGGGCAGCAGCGCGGGGACTCTGGCGGCCGAGGGAGGCTCCGCAGCAGCCCGTGATGAGCGCGGGCTCACCCCGGCCCCGGCCCCGGCTGCCGAGTGCCGGAGGAGCGAGTCTGAGAGGCCCGCGGGGGAAGCTCTGTCGCCTCCCCC